GGGACAACATCACTTTTTGGTGACTCAATTGTAAAACACAGGGGAATTCTGCCGTGCAGCTTGTGAAAAATGATTTCTGCACAACCTCTCAGTGGTGGTTCCCGCATGCGATTGATTCAGGCTCAAGCCTTGCAACGATGACAGGACCCACGTGAAGGAAAAACGTCCCAAAAAGCCAAGCACCTCACAGACCTCACAGCGAGTGACGTCTGATTTTGACGACATCAGTTGCACAGAGATTCTTCGCCTCACCCAGCATTTCGAAAAATCTCATGAAGCCCATTCGAAATGTGGTATTGGTATGTATTGGTATATATGTATTGGTTCGAGTTTTAGTATTGGTGTTGCTGTTCCACGAAGACTTCTCGAACTCAGTTAGCTCCAACAGAGCTGGAGGACCTTGGAGGGTCCTCCAGGCCCAACAGGAATCGAAAATACATCGCTAAAAGGGAATGGAGCGCTACAAAATTGAGGAGCTTTGTAGATCAAAAAATCAGTTTGTCTGAAAAAAAGATGAATGATTCAATTTGATTCAATGATGCTTAATCTTCACTTAGCCCATTTTCAGACGCAGCCAGCTATCTCAAGACATCACCGGGTTGCCCTGGTGTTGGATGGCTGCAGCAAGTTGCGCTGCAAGAATCTTTGGTTGGCACCCCAGCAAGCTACCGCGGCGTCTAGTTTCAGGGGATCTGCTAGCTGCTTAGCACGTCTTAGCTCACAAACATGCGCCGAAGTTTGGCAACAAAATAACCCAGGAAGAATCAAAAAACACATACTATGAAGAAACAAAATAACCCAATATACCATGAAGATCTACGAAGTATATGGCCTGGAATATGTTACTTCAGCTCCTCTCACCGGGTGATCTAGCTGGGCAAGAGTTTTTCCTCACACCGGATCGAATTCTGCGACGGAATTCTGCAATGATGGGAATTGGACTGGGGTAACTGTACCAAGTAAAGCTGATTTTCGGAGAGGTGATAATTACTGTAACCGTGTGGTGTCGTTCGTTTTTTGAGTTTTTACAAGTTTTTACTATACAGCTAAAATTCAGTGAACACCTAATGACACTGCGCCTCTTTTTGTCTTTCTCTTGTTTGGTGGGGTGGCTTTGGGGTGTAATAGTAATAATTAAGATTTATTGACCGTCATTGACCTTCCTTTTGTATTTGATGCTACGCTTCAACTTCCTCCTGATCCTGCATAGGTGGCAAACCTTGGATGCATTTCCGATCATCTCCGCCAAAGACCTTGAAGAATAAAAACTTTCGGTGGCCGTGACCCCACAGAAAGGTTCTGTGTACGCATTCCTTTTGGAGATATCACTTGAGCTGACTTGCCAAACCAAGCAAAACTGCTGGCTGCGAAAAATCTCCTGATACACGCGCGGACTGCAGCCTCTGAGGGAGAGGAAACTTGTCATTGTGCAAAAAAAAGGCAAAAGTACACAATGTACCACGGTTATGCGCGCGTGACCTTTTGAAACTAGTAACACCCATGTTAATTGGAAATCAGTGCGCCATATATGTGGTCCCTCGGACGTCCCTTGACCATGTCACCATGTTCCCCGAAGCGTAGACCCAACATAGATACGCAGAACCAGAGTTTTTTCACATATTTCAGTGGGCTAACATTCCAAATTTCTGCAGTTGTTTTCTTTCAAAAATTCTCGTGACTGATTGGTGGTTTGGAACATTTTTTATTTTTCCATATTATTGGGAATTTCATCATCCCAACTGACTAATGGGGACTCTCCTCGAGCTGCCCCCGAAATAAAGGGTCACCATTCCCCGAAACCTCGCTGAGGTGATGCAGGCGGGGCGTGGGATAAACCTTTCAGATTCAGATTTTTGGAGTGAGGAATCCCTACCTGAGAGATGGATAGAAATGCTCTGGTTGGTGGTTTGGAACATGAATTTTATGTTTCCATATATTGGGAATTTCATCATCCCAACTGACGAACTCATTTTTCAGAGGGGTTGAAACCACCAACCAGTGGTGATTTGGCGAAAGCACCATGGATTTTTGATGTTTGCAGGTTTCACATGTTGATGATTTGTTGACGGGTATTTTTTACGATATTCCTCTGGCCAGGAACTACAGATCGTTGAGGGAAATCAGCACCGCGACTTTGCAGACATTGCCTCTCGGTGTTCATCCCACAGCTCAATGCTGAGTGCCGCCACGAGTGGTTGTTTTAATGCTTGGATGGATGATAGGCAATAAGATGGAATAAGCATATATAATCATGGTATAACGGTATAACCCATCTACTAAGTAGTAGAGCTACGTGGGTAGATGGGTTGCCCATCTACTAAGTATGCACTCCCAAGTGGGGAGAAAGAAGATCCACTGGATTTTGGGGCGTATCATTTCCTAAAATAGGGCTACCCAAAATCATCCAAGTCATTAGACCTTTGTAGTATTGATATGTATTGATAATTATTGATAGCCATGATTTTGGGGTACCCCCATTTTAGGAAACCTCCATATGATCGTTTATCAGGATAAGAAGTGTTTTATCTCCTTGGAGTTGTGCATTCCTAATAACAATAACAACAATAATAATAATGATAATAAATAACAATTACAATAATAATGATAAAACATATAATATATATATATATATATGTGTTATATATAGGGTGCATAACGTGAAACCATTACCAAAAAAACAATCTGGCAATGGACAAGCCACATGTGGAAATATATCATGTGCAGATATAGTTCTTCATTGCCATGGTTGATTTCCAGAAAGATAAGGGGCGTCAAGGCAATTGATTTGCTTGGACCCACGGCTGGTAAACATGTCCTGTTTTCACTCGGCGTGTGGAATATGACCGCGGAATTGGAACTAGAATCCCAATCGTTTGCTTGATTCACTTTGTGGATTTGATGATGTTGGCGTTTTTGTTTTTCATTTTTATTTTTTATATGTGTGAATCATGACATGTCAATGTTGTGACTGTTTGAATCTGCATAATGTGTGGCTGTTTCAACATGGCTGGAAACCAACCTGGGCTTGGCACACGAGGTCTGGCAGATCACAGAACGCGGTTGCTGCAATGAGTTTGCTCATGCCTCAGCTGACGGTGAACCATGACTGGTGAACCGTGGGTGGCGGGGAAAACCTGGGAACACCATACTGTGTATGGAAGAGATCTTGCAGGGACGGGAACTGTTACCCTCTGGTTATATCAAAAAAGCTATTGAAAATGCCCATCTTATAGTGAGTTTCACCATTAAAAATGGTGATTTTCCATAGTTATGTAAACGTTTACTAGAGGGTAGCAACTATGAAACACTGTAATTAAATAATGGGATAATGGGATGTTTCCCATCTACCAACTGGTGCAGGATTTCGCACTCATCCACCGTATGATTTTGTGTCGATCCTGTTGGATAAATCTGGTGTTAAACCCAATGACAACCCACATGTAATTTTGCGATTCTTGAAGTTGGATGAAATTGGGAGCTTAGAGAGAGGGCTACCCACGGTTTTTTGGCCCCTAGTTATAAATGCAGCAATGCAGTGGAAGTGGAAATAGGACCCATCATTTCTCCGTTGATCTCATAATGATATTGTCTCATCAGCATTGGCCAGATGCCATTTGTTTCATGGATCTCCGGGTTACCCCACCTGCATACTTGTATGATTTGTATGGCTCAGGATTACCCAGCTCCACAGTCGGATGGCGAAATATGGTAAATCTGGGTGGTGAATTACAGTATGACACAGTATGAGAACTTTACAGCGACCGCACCAGAGATGATCGTTGAGGGGAAAGCATCCCAAAGTCACTAAAAACATTTCAGCTTTGTGAGTTACTATATCATTTATGTATCATTGTATCAATGTTTAGTATTTACTGATATTTACTGTATCATTGCATCATCACTCTGCGGTAAACATTGCCAGTTCGATGTGGAAAACCTTCATTGTTTCCCTCGGAAAATGATCTCCAAGTGGTGTGTTGAAACCGGAGTCACAGCAAAAAAATACTGGTTGGTGGTTTGGAACATTTTTTATGTTTCCATCTATTGGGAATAATCATCCCAACTGACTTTCATATTTTTTAGAGGGGTTGAAACCACCAACCAGAATAATACCATTTACACATTGACAGTTCACAATGATTTTCCCCAGAAATATGGTCAAAAGAACAGTCTTGTGGTTCAATTCAATATGGTTCCCCCCAGCCCGTCCAATTATATAATAAGCACCAAAAAGATAAATAGATCCAGAAACAAATAGTGCCACAATTACAATTCTATCTTTTTGGGGGTTAGTGTAGAGATATGTTCCAAATTCCATCAAAAAACCAAGGAGTATTAGTTATAGACTCTAGACCAACTTGGCTAACTATGGGACTGGGTACCGTTTGTTTGAGCCAAAGCCGGTCAGTTTTGAAAACATCGCTGTTACATGTGTTGATTATAGGATGGTTATACTTGATAATTTTGAGGATGATAACTATCAGCTGGGAATCCCATTCTCAACCAGTGGAATGAAATGAGGATAGATCAAAACTTGCTGTATCATATTTGAGAAGGATGAACCTCCATTTACCAATTATTTTAGGGTTCACCCTGGGATTCAACAGGTTTTGACCCACAGCCAAATGACAGAGGCTTTTGAACACAACGGGATTCTCAGTCTCTTGGATGATGATAATTCCCTGGGTAGTTACAGTATAGCCCCCAAGACTCATCATCAACCAAGTACCATTTATTAATATGGGTATGGATCAATACCTATTAATACCATTTTTAGGGGAATGAACATCCATTTACCAGCTATTTTGATGTTCACCAGGGGTACAAGGTTTTGACACACTGCCATATCCCCATTTTGGATGGTTAAATCCACTGTAAATATCAATAAATCAAGGTTCAATATCAACCAACAGGGCTTTGTCGCAGGTCGTCAGATACGACTGTGGCCATTCGCTGCGCGCGGAAGTCTGTGTTCCAGCCATCCCCAGTACCAAGGACGGATGCCATGGGGCTGCGAGCCATGGGCCGCGGGGAGGGGAAACTACCAGACGGTTGGGATACTGGGATAGTGATGGCAATAGTGTGAGATGGTTTCGCAGTTTGAATATCATTGTTTAGATTTTCACATATCTCCATGTACCACAGATAGATAAATCTAAGTTGCGCCTGGGTTTTCCTTTGAGTAAGTTGAAGCCACCAATTTGAATCTGGAATATGTTGTCAAGGAGGAGCATGCACCAAACAGATATCCTTTAGAATTGTTCTTACCTGCTCTTACCATTTATATAATGTTTGCATATGTTTACCCTTATTACCATTTTGAACAAAGTCCATATATCCAGATGTCACACTTACTGTAGATATGTATATGTATATGTATACGTAATATGTACTGTATATGTAATATGTTATATGTTATATGTAATATGTAATATGTAATATATATATATATGTCTTATATGGTATATGTATATGTATGACAATGTAAGTCTATTCAATACTGTATGAACTTATATATGTTTTCTGTGGTTTGTATAGAAATAGCTGCAGCACAGGAGTATGGGAGTCATCCCACCGAGAGACGACGTTACGCGCAACATGCCTTGCACGTTTCTTGGTCGCCCAGGGGAGCCGCAGGAGCCGCAGCTCGGGAAGCGGTGAAAGCCGCAACGAACTTACCCTCTGGTAAACATACAAAAAGCTATTGAAAATGGCTATTTATAGTGGATTTTCCTATTAAAAATGGTGATTTTCCATACTTATGTTAGTTTACCAGAGGGTAGTTAACTTTGGTGCCATTTTGATGAACATTTTGAAACCATGTGTGTGTGAGATGGATTATTATAAGGCTTTATATGGCTATAGTGAACACTTGAAGAGAAACTGTAAAGATTTCAAGTGCTGGATTTTTTCATCCTAGCCTAGCTTTGGTGTTGAAAATAGGTCCGGACAGTCGCCAGTCGCCAGATGTTTTGGTCATTTCCCGATTGGTCCAGTCGCCGTTCGCCGCGGGAACTTGAGGTGCTGACGCGCAATCCCGCGTCTCTCCAGGTGGGAAGATGGATGAGTCAAAAGGTATCAAGGTGGCATCAATTGAAAAGCTACAAAGTGGGGACCCCCAGTTATAACTTGAATTACATTGATATATTATATATTTGATATATATATACTATATAATAGTATGATTATATATATACACATTGTATAAATATAAAATGTATATCATGGGGATTGAATCAACAAACATAGTGATTGAATGGGATTTAACCAACGACAACAGAGGTTTAATGGTACCCCCCCAGTGTGTTTTTTTTCCGTTCATAGTAGCATTATGAACTAGTTCGATGATGTTCGATGTATCTACAATAAGCTGATGTGAAATTGAAGTTACCCTCTGGTAAACTAACATAACTATGGAAAATCCCAATTTTTTAATGGGTATATAAATCAACTATAAATAGCCATTTTCAATACCTATGTTAAATTACCAGGGGGCATTATTTGCACCATAAAATGCACCAACTTGGCGATTTCAAACTGGGACAGTAACTTGCATCAAATGGTAAGGGGTTCACCCGCAGCAGCAAACTTTGCTGAAGGATGGGTTGATAAGTTCTTGTTCAATGTTGTTGCTGGTTGGAGGAATAGGCCAACCAGCGCTGAAAGATATTTTTTGTTTTGCAAGCATCGAAACATTGATATATCGGTATATCCGATAGTCACAAATAGTCCCAAAAATAGACATACTGTATACCTTCCCGGTCCACTATTGTCCTGGTGAGGCAACGCACTTTTCGAAAATGGATGTGGCTAACCGTTACGCTGCCTGTATCCTCTAGATTTGGAGCAATACGTCATTCTTTTGGGAAATACGTCGGATATGTTTCCCAAAATCAGTGCTTTTCCCATCAAAATACTGAAGGCATATTTTTTGGGAAGCACCCCTTTTCCTGGGTGAACCCTGAGGAGGCACTTTGATACATGTCTTGTTTGCTAATTATAAATGAAGGCATAACTACACAGCAAAAATGAAGAAATGCCTTTCTATCCCCATCTATCCCCCTTTTATCCCCTTACGAATTGGAAACCTACAATTCATGACTAGATCCGGGCCCTATCCCGGGTAAGATTATTGGTATTTGGTCAACTATATCGATACTTAATATTGCTGTATATTAGGTATATTACATAGTGTTTTTATGCAACATTGTCTATTGAGGGCTATTTCATATACCAATAGAAAACATGCAAGATTTATTGATATCATCTATTTCTATGGGCCATCTATACCACGGCTATGTAACAAATAACCAGAGGGTAGATGTCATATTCATACTAGATATCTTCATATACCAAAAACTATATCATATCTATATACTGTTCATATTCATATTCATATTGTTTTGCTTTGGCTCAGCTTGACTATGTCGTGTCGGGCTCCATCATTTCGCAGGCGCAGGTGACGGTGTTGGAGGGTCGATGTCGTCACTGCCAACGCGGCCAGCGGCAAACCTTGGTGCCCTGGGAGCTGGGCCCGAAAAAGAACAGATCTGCTACATGGGGGTTGTTTACATATGGGATACAGATAGTATAATAACCCCGGGCATTTCATTTTAGCTTGGCTTGCACCTTTTTCATATGATAATTTCATAGTATGTTTTGAAACGTAATGAATAATTAAAGATAAACATAAATGTATTTCATATGTTTGGGGGGATTCGAGTGATTGTGGGCTGTTGCAAATGGATCATTAAATGAGTAAGAGGTGAATTCCCGGATTTGGGGAATAAATACCCTATTTTCAAGCAAATGGCCCGGAATGAAGTGCCTGAAATCAGATTCTTCAGTTTTGAGGAAGCTCAACACGTTTTTGTTTTGCATTTCTACTTCGACCAATTCCAATGACAAGCACATTCTTTGGGGCTGAAATTTGAGAGCATCGAAGATTTCAAGTTCTACAGTAACCAGTTGAAAGATCTGTAAGTGTCGACCATCAATGCCACAAAATCACTCCGAAAGCTGCAGATTTGAGAACCGGCTTAGACTCGTTTGATACTTCAGAACACTATAGACTACTATAGTAGCCCACAGATAGAAAAGTGGATCTTCACTATTTTTTAATGGGCATTTCCTGATTTCCTGTTCTAGCGTCTTGGGGATGACTTCTTCGACCACATTTCATCGACTTCTTCGTAGTTTCTGTCACCAACAAAAACTGTGGCGATGATCCCAGGGTCGTTCCCTCTGGAATTGTGTTCCCAAGGGCATCCTTAAAGTAGCCCATTGATACTTGGAGGACCAGTGGACAACTGGGAATCCTTTGGTATATCTTGGAATTCTTGGGTACCAGTGTACCAAGATATAACTTTGGAGATATCGATGATATCTTATGGTATATCTTTGGTATATGTTGTACCAGAGTGTACCAGAGATAATTGCCATATCCTCAAATCAGCTTGGAATGCTGGGCGACACTAGGTATGTGGCCCAGTGCACATAGACTTGAGGCCTGGTGATGATCCTCTTGGGGCTGGGGATTGACGATTTGACCAACGAATATGGGGGAATCCCCGGGAATCCCCGATATATGAAGGGTGTACACACCCAAACTCATCATCAACCTATTGGGAGGGTTGAAACTGCCCAAGTGTTTCTGGCCAATAGGTCTGAGAATTGGTTTGAGGTCAAGCTTGCTGGAAACCCGTGCTGACATCTTGTCGATGGCCCATTCAACATTAGGTACCAGAAGTAAAGCAACCGGCAATATCAAACCATATTTGGGTGTGTTTGAGCATGGAGGATGTCCCAAATAGCTACAGTGGTTGTTATAGGGAAATGATGGATTTAATATGATTTAATTCAGGGGTACCCTCTTCTCAGACAAAGCATGTTTGGTGGCTCCCTTTTGGCCATATCTAGCTCCTATTAGGGAACCTTTGCTACCCTGAGTTGGTGATCAAAATGTCCCATGTGCAGATGACGATTTTCTTCTTCTAAAAAAATACGCTGGTCCGTATCTATTTTTACAGGGTTAGGTCCCTTTTTTTTACAGGTTTAGACGCAGAGCCATGAAAAACATACGTATGCCTTATCCCACCACAATCTGCTGGAAATAGGTCTTCCGAACCCTCTTGTGTGGTAGTTCAGAACCATCAAAAAATGATTCAACCATTCAACCAGGTGTTTTTTTTCCCGATCTCCAGCACATGTTCATATTATAAACATTTATAAACATCGATGCCGTGAAGGCGCCAACTGTTTGTTGTTGAGATCCAGCTGGATGTTGCAGGGAACCTGCTTCCCCCGGCTTGGTGGTGAAGGCAGCCGGTGTCCTGCGAGCGAGCCGTTGGGGTGTGAAACAGGGGAAATCCACTAGCAATAAATGGAAGCTGGTTGGTGGTTTGGAACATGTTTTATTTTCCATAATATATGTGGTTGGTTAATCATGGTTAATAATCACTGGTTGGTGTTTTGGATGGGATAATCCTTCCCATTGACTTTCATATTTTTCAAGATGGTTATTGCACCACCAACCAGAAGATATTGCAATCATAAATAGCCAACTAATGGAGGTTCTTTTCTGGGAATATCATCTGACTAGTTCTCGAAGGTTAATCTACCCGGAGATTGCTGAAGATGATGATGTTTGCCGTTTTCCCAATGAAAAATCTATTACTTCGGGAATCTTTGTTTGGAAATGTTGGGAATATCATCTGAATATGTTTTTTTTTGAACCTTCGAAGCAAATCCAAGACGAAAAAATGTGCATTCAAACGGAGGGTTCCTGAAATGTGGGTGCCCCCAAATTATCATCCATTTTTAATAGGATTTTCCATGAAAAAGTCACCATCCAGCGAGCGACCAGGGTACCCCATGACTATGGAACCCCCCCATAGATAGGAACAACATCGATAAATCGGGGCGCCCTTATGTTTTGATGTTGGTTTTTCCTGCCCCAACTATTCTTCTTTCATCTAAACCCTTAGCTAACTGTGCCGGGCACCACCTCATAGGGGTTGAGAATAGGGAGCTAAAGTCTGGATTAGGGAATATATGGAAATTCCATGAGAAACTTATCCATAAATGAGAAGTAATAATGGAATAACAAATGGAGATTTTACAACAAAATGATATGATGGGAAGGCAATGTGATATACTGATATACTAAACAAGATTATATTTGGGTTGGTCTGTGCGCCCATTTCATTGAGCAGTAGATTTCCGGGCCCCCTATTGTTTTGGACACACCGCATATTTATACAAAAATTGAAGAACATGTGGCGATATAGACATATCCAAATACCCGCAAAAGGAAAGAATCATGGTGAATCAGTCACACCCCACTTGTACCGTTTGTAGATGATTTTGATTACGTGTTGGGATTTGCATTGCTATGTTGTACACCCCACAGCGACAGACCGTACTGATATCCCCCCCTTTAACCCTGGAAGATATGGAAGTGGTAAGGCAAGAAATTTCTGAGAAATATTTCACCCAACCACCTGAAATATCCACACCCCTCCACGTGTTTTTTGGGCTTCCAAAAGAGGTGGGGGGGGGTCCTCCGGATGTCAGACTTTAGCCCTGGCCTTTCAAGATTCTCAGAAACGGAATCCTACTGCTGCAATGGAATTTCTGGCGTGGTGGCTTCTAGAGCTGTAAAATACAATGGACCATGGTTTTGCACCTCCCCCCCTCAAAAAGTTCTCAAGCAAAGCTTGGGGAGAGGAAAAAAAAATGGATATATACGCTTCAGCTGGTTTGCACGCACCTGACCACATCCACCGGTGCCCGCTGCTGCATAATTGACAGCGCTAAGATTTTCCACTGCCTTATTCTACCGTATATAAACCAGAAATTTCTAGCTGAAATATTTCTGGGTGGGGAGAGGGGGGTAACCTCCCCCAAAAGTGAAATATTTCAGTGCCAACCCCCCCACCACCCCCTTAACTAAAGGGGGGGATGTACTGATGTACATAAAGGTTAGCTATGTTGTACCACCAGTGGGGCACTCCCGGGGATGTCTGAAGGGGAGTTTGCTGTTTATCTCAGAATGGATATCCTCAAGCATCCCCAGACCCTTATGGTTTATCATCATTTTCCCCATACATACATACGTATACATACGTATACATACGTATACATACGTATACATACGTATACATACGTATACATCCGTATACATACGTATACATACGTATACATACGTATACATACGTATACATACGTATACATACGTATACATACGTATACATACATATACATACATATATATATATATATACATACATATACATACATATACATACATATACATACATATACATACATATACATACATATACATACATATACATACATATACATACATATACATACATATACATACATACATACATACATACATACATACATACATACATACATACATATACATACATATACATACATATACATACATATACATACATACACATACATACATACATACATACATACATAGACACACACACATACATACATACATACATACATACATACATAGTTAATTACATATATCTAAATCTACATACATTACATCACATTACATTACCTTACCTTACCTGACCATACATGTTGTTTTTGTTATATATATCTTTTACATGGCCATTGATCCTTGGACGCCAGGCCTTGGGCGACATCACGGTGGACGTCCTGGCGCAAGCCAAGCGCATGGAACTGGCCATGACGGGGCAGAACTTCCTCACCACCGTGTGCCAGGCGACCAGGCGAAGTTTTCATGAAATAAACATGGGATGTTTAACAATAGATGTTAAATGAGCCATGAAAAAAGTACTCAACTATGGCTAACTATGGTATAATCCCCAGATATTTGGTATAATAGATGGGATTTTTTAAACATAGATGTTAAATGAGCCATGAAAAAGTACTCAACTATGGTTTGATAATCATGTATAATTCCTCTCGATTTTTCGACCATAGATGAAATGAGCCGTTAAAGAATACCATAGTTGATACGTTATTATGGGGATTCTACTATCTGTTTTTTTAATACGTTTAATATGTTTTTTTTTAAAGAAGCCATAGGGATAACTACGAAGCAAGTCATGGTAAAAATCATGGGCACATCATCTCCAAAAAGATGGGATAGGGAATGTGCCGTGGATGGAGGCGAGTTTTTTTGTGCTGAAATTGATTTGACCGTGCATTTCTACTAGGAATACTAACCAGCCAAACAAGAGTCGTGTTTCCGCGGGGGCCATCTAGAACGGGCCACCATGTGCTATGCGCTGTGATGATTTCTGAGCCCACGTCAAAAGAAGTCTGAACGAATGTGAGCCTTGAATTTTGGTTCAGATCTGTATGAGATGGGAATCGCCATGAGAATCCATGGTGTATAACGTTGCATGTCATGTAGTCATAAGCTTCGTGCAGCGCATCAAACCGTCTATAAGTCTGAAGTATTGGGCCGCAAGCAGTGGCGTAGCAAGCCGTACTTCCAGGACGTCCCTGGGATGATGATCTTCGTTGACCGACAAGTTTGGGGATGAACACATCAACCAGATCTGGTTCTTGTTTGATATTGGTTGATACACCTGTTGGAAAATCGAGCACTTTCAGCATGTTCCGCGCTCATTGGGTTCCGGTTTGAATTTGCATGTACGGACTCTGATGGAGCTGTTCACACGGCCCCAAAAAACTATCTGGTACTTGGTTTTGCTTGGTATCCTTATACCATCACTGATACCATCACCATCCATGCCAAAAATTGATGAACAATGTACCTCTGGTAATTTGTTACAGTTCGCTATTGAATATTAGGCCCATTTACAGTTGATTTACCTACTAAAAATGGTGTATCAATCATTGTGTCACATTGGTACAAAGACTCGGTGCTGGAGTAGCTCCATTCTGGACATTCCTTCACAATTTGACGGGCCAAAAATCGACTCCAGTGAACTCAAAAGTGCTTAAGGTTAGGGTGTTGCCCGAAAACCATCGGAATTAACTTCATGAACCAAAAGTGAATTAGTCTTGGTGACTTCATACCCCCAAAAACGTCTGGTGACAGTCTGATGAAGAGAAAAACAGGGGGAAAGCATACCAAGTTCTGTTCTCTCGCCAATTGAGAGCCATACTCTGGCTGTGGCTGTGTCAAAAATGGTCAGTGGCCTCGGCCTACAGAATTTCGTAACCATTAAAGGCCGCGGAACCACGCAAGCGTGACCCATAGATACCTGTATGATCCTGTATACCTGGAATACCTGTATGATACCCGGCCGCATGTGATCCCAACAAAAACCGGATACTCCATCAGAAATCACTGTATTTGCCCGATTTGTTAGTCACCACTGTAGAATATATTGGGGGTATCCTACATTTTGAGATATACCTATATCATCCTATATCCATCTCACATCCAATTGATAGTTTGTGGCCAAGCTCAACCACACCCTTTTCGGAAAGGCTCCCCCAGGTGCTTCTCCTTGCGACTGAGGTTAGCACCCACTTGCGAATCCAGGGGTGAGCTCAAGTAGGATAGATGAGAGTTTTGAAACCATTGGGGAAGTTTGGTACTGACTGAGAACTACCTACTGTCAAGGTTCAGGGTCCAAAGTCAAGACCAAAGCCAAGACCCAAAGAACCCACAGGTATTTGTCACTGTATTCATGTATAATTGCATATAAGAAATGACAGTCCAATTTCTCGAGTGCCAGTCTTCAAATCTACAAGTTGGTTCACTCAGTGCCTTGCTCGGGAAGATGACTACAAGATATGTTGCAAAAATACGCCGCCGTCACATACTGCATAACCACACTCACTCTCGGTACAGGTGCGGCAACAGCAATTGCATTGGATGCTGGCTCTGAATGAAGATGGTTGACATCGAATGCAAACCGTGTGCCGGCCTATGACATCGCGGGCTAGCTGGGGAAGTGGCCCCAAGGACTACCCTTGCTGCTTTTCACTCACGGGCTTCTGGAAACACAGCTGCTCTACTATGTAGCGGAAAAACATTGTTTTCGTTGTTGCGCGCGCTCTTGCATCTTTTAAAGGTTCATCTGCTGCGAAGCAGAAATCGAAAGTTTGTTTTTTTGCATGTCGGTTGCGGTTGCAACATGCGTCACGGCTGCTGGCATTGGCGAGCTCACAACCATACCTCGTTCAATCACACCCCACCAATGGTGGCCGTGGATTCCATGGCCATGGGATGCCGCGGCTTGACTGGGTGTGGATTGTCAGGTCTTGCCGGATGGTGCTGAAATACTCCCTCCTTCTGGTCAGGGCACTCAGGAATGCTCGGGAGATTCGGTTGGCCACTACGTTGTGCTCACCCGATTTATGTAATGTTTCCAGACTTTTGGATCCTGGGTTGAGTTTCTAACTGCCAATGCAAGGCCTAAAGGAACCACGCACCTTCAACACCGTGCGGTTGGAACATAGTCCTGGAGATAATGAGACATCAAAGGTGCAGAAGATATCACTGGGTTAGTAAATATTTCTCTTCCTATCGGATATAGTTAAACCAGGGAAACTGGGATCATGTGCATGTGATTGAATTATCGTCAAAGTTATACATGTGGAAAGCGCCATCCGCATGCCAAAGATTTTGTTGTTTGACCCCGCCTGAAGCCGGAACCCGTTCAAAAATGCCACCTCCAAAATGTCCGCAAGTATCCATTTGTGACCTTTGATACCTTTGGAAAATGTGAAATCATAAAACACATGATTTGACATGACATAACTATGATATGTTGCACCATCATATACAGCATGATATGATATATAGTATATAGATTCTAGATGGTTGTCTTTTTTATTTTTCATATAGACCTACGATCTTAAAATGGTATCAGATATAAGTATATAACATCAAGACTTCGGTACAAAACTCCATTTAGACGGGATTTTCCAGCTAGCCATGTTTGGCAACCTGGGGTAATCTGGGGTACATGTTCACGTACAATATTATATGCTGATACAGAAAATATATCTTATATTATCGTTATATTCTAAAGCAATGGCTATATGGTTGATGGCATATAACGATGGTTCTGTACAACGTATGTGTCTTAATTATATACTGTATCTTTTAACATATTGATACTGCATCACTACCATTTGGTCATTCAACAGCAATGGGATTTCTCATCGATGGTTTTTATAGCCAAATCATCGAACTAAACGGGCAAACGGGTTTCCATTGTTCCGTTCATATGGTGGGTTTTCCATTTTACTATCATGCCATAACATATCATGCTATATTATTAGCAATGCTTAGATTCTTAGATACTATATATCATACTATGTTATATTATACGTATATCATAATATACTACTTTACTTTGTACTATGTTACTATGATATACTATAGTTATGGCGATAGACTAGAAGTAGTAAAATTTGTTAATAACTACAGTATATAGTTGACAGTAGTGGTTTTTTAACCGATCCCATTCATTCGATGGGTTTTTGAACTGTATTGGTGACTATAGTATTAACTTTTCTATTGAGAAAAAACTGTCTTGAATGACCACTTTTTATTGATTGTTATGGGGTAATAACTACACTATAATCATAAACCTGTGGTTTAGCCCTATTATTAACTATTCTGTTAACATTCTTTATTAGTTAGTATATAATATCTAGTGTTAACTATTCTTTTCGAGTGTTAACTACTCATATTATTTATAGTAACTAGTGTTGACATACAATGGCGATATGTTGAGTATCACTGATTTAATACTCATTAGATTAATATTAAGTAGAATGACTAGCGTTACTAGAAATGACTATTAAGATGGATTGTCATAGCATATGATAACTAGTGTTAACTATTCTTACTTTAAGAATAACTGGACTGACCGTGTATGATTATCAGGAGCTATCAATAATTTAATAATTAGAATGATTCTTGCCAGTAATGATGATGGACTAGAATGACGATTTTGTTTGAATTTTGATTACATACATATATATATATATATATCTATGTAATATATATATATATAATTATATAGTCTATATATATATATGTATATATTTATTTCTATTTAATATGTATGTATATATAAATATATATTTATTATATATATATATATGTGGCCACCGCCCCCCCAATGTCACCTAGGACGCCCGAAGGGCCACCTCCAACCACGCCCACTGAGGCGTTTTTACCGGGAACGCCCCCAGGGCCACCCCCACCGACGCCTCCTGAGGCTCTTTTTCCGGGAACGCCCCCACACCCACCACCTCCGCGTGCTCTTCATTTAATTCCCCCAGAAGCACGGCGGCCACTATCTCCACGTGGCACGCTTGGGGGTGCGTGAGGATTGGCGAGCATGTTGCGGAAAAAAAGAAGGGCAATGCGTTTTGCAGCATGTCACAGTTTCTAGGTCGCAATCCAACACTAACCACCTTCACGAACACAAGTCCTTCAATGTCTCTCCTCTGGAGATGTCAAATAGCAGCTTCCTTTATATCAACAATGTAACCGCTTACCCATACACAACACCCCCCAAAAATGGAAATTATGGACACGCTTCTGAAATGATGTCAGGCTAGTGTCTGCTACATCTCACAACATGACGTGGCAAAGTCGTAACCTTTCATTCCTTACATCCCTGCAGTCTTTACATTCATCACCGGCATCCCTGCTACCCTTCATCTCGACCCTCTCGGCTCCATGGCGAACGTCGATGTGAACTTCGTGGAAAGCTTCAGACATCAGCTTGGAGAACGTGATGGGGTCTTGTCCTCCGAAGAGTCGTGCGTCCAAGTGCAGGGCCTCAAGCTGCTCGGGCCGCAAGCTAAACCCTTGAAGTCTAACAGACCGATGGGAGACGTCTGCTTCATTGATCTTCTTTTTCGTGATTTGGACAGCATGGGAGGCAAAGTAGAACAGTTTGCGGACATCATCCAAAACTTCCCGGTGTCTGGCAGGATCGACGCACAGTTCTTGGACGCAACCATGTAAAATATCGTGAACTACCAGAACCTTTCAATTTCAAAGCAGAGCCCAAGGTGCCTTACAGCCTCCAGATCATCATTGTGCCTTCGTACCTTCCACCCGACGAAGATCAAAAGTATGTGGACATCTTCCAGCACATCTACCTGCACAAAAACAAAGTAACTTCGGCTGATTGCATGTCCTATTGTCATGGTATCCCTATCCGCTTCGATTGGGGCAATCAATCTCGATTGGCTCTGGCGGCCCCCAACCTTCAACATGTTGGATCGCGCCGGTGGCATGCAGATCCGTATAGTTTGAAAAGAAGCAAACGATAGACCAAACTTCCCGAGAGGCTGAGTATCGTTTTATTATGTTTTATTCATGACCATGGCCCCCGCTCCAACAACATGAACCAATTTACGGAGTGGACTGACGAGCAGGTGCATCTTCCTGGTGGTCCTTTGGAATGTTGGGAAGAAGAAAAGGTGAAAGAAGCACTTCACAACTACTACCGTGGGCGCCAGAATGCAAAGACCCTCCAATACTGGCCATTGACTTTGAAGAGTTTCGTCGCATGGTTTCTCGATGAAGTCCTAGTCAAGATGCTTCCGCCCATGCGGCAGCATTCCATCAGGATTGGGCGAACGAGTGTCGGCAAATCCTTGGGTTCCAAAACTATTCTGTTTGCCCAGTCCAAGATTGAAATTGCGCAGGCTGACCGTCAGGATATGGTGCCGTCTATTGTGACGGCGAAGCATCTCGATTTCCTCAAAGCCGAGCCCATCACGAAGTTCAAACCTGGGGTCTTTGATGATGGGATGCTCCAGCGAATGGATGCATCCTTCCTCAGGGCCTTTCTGAATCGATCGGCGCCTTGGCAGCATCTAACATCATGAAAATCACATGTGAGCTGCCTTTGTGTTTGCGTACGTGCCTCCTTGCTAGTGTTTGCTCTTGCAGCCCATACGACTTACATGTGTGTGTGTTGGTACCAAAAAACAACTAAGGAAGAAGACGCTACGGTGTGGGTGCGATACTCCTCTGCGCAATTTGACCAAGGTGCAGGACGTCGTGCATGCAACAATCCTTACAACCATGTCCTTGACTGTGAGCTCTTCCAGAAGATGGAGACGGCAGGCAAAACGCATACTGGACACAAGGACTTCCTGGACTTGATTTCTCCATCGATGGAGTCCGAGGACATGTCCGCCATTTTGGCGCGCACGCACATCATTGTCTTGATCGACAACGGGGTGTGTCGCAAGCACTCACAAGGGCAATGTGGACTGCATCTCATGGCAGGCTCCTGACATGAAGGACATTTTGGCACCTGAGTACAAGTCCATTTTCAAGGATTTTCAAGGCCTACAAGGCAGATCCTCAGAATCACGTCCTTCCATCGACCCAAGAACTGCTTCGCAAACTTCTTCAAGATGAGCATGTTCCAAGAACCATTACTGTTCGTCACCAGTGACAGTGTCCAAGGGCTGCAACAAGCTCCACGCTTGCTCCCTCCAGCGGATTTGGCAGCCAAAGTGAGAACAAGTCCAGCATGTGTGGAAGGAGCGCAACAAGCATCGACCTATGGGTACCGTCATTGAACTGGATTCCCCTTCTCCTGCCAAGAGATTGCGGCCAGCCTCCATTCTCAATCCGGACGCATTGCCAGGCATGGAAGCACAAGACGATGAACTTTCACAAGAGCGACCTTTGGAGGCAGAGATCGAGAAGATGATGGCTGAAGAGCTCGAAGTTGAAGAGCCCAACGCCTTCCATGCCAGCAGCCTTGGGTAGAAGGGTTTTGTGAGCAAAGCTAGCTGTTTCATTTTGCGCGCGTGTTGCTTGTGGTCTTGATGCAGTGACGGGTCTGTGTTTGTACCGCACTGCTGCCGTGCGAGGTTTTGTAGAGCAATCCAGAACTATGGAAAACAATCGAGCGCACCAGCAAAAATGTATTGACTTCTTCGTGCGTGTGTTTGCTTCAATTCCTTTGAGAACTGTTCTGCACATGTCTTGAAGCATTGTCTCTCCATGATGTTGCTGTTAAGCTACATGTATGGGTTCCGTTTGTCTTGCTGCATGTATGCTGGTGTCTGTGTGCAACATCTTCATTGCCAGCCGCCATTTCTTGGAGTGAACGTAGCAACCAAAAGTGCTTGTCTCGCGAGTCTCACGTAGTAGATTGTCAATGCCATGCCAAAGAAACTCATGAAGGCCGTGAAGCGACAGCCGCGCGCGTGGCCCATGCCCAAAAGAGGCAAAGCAAGAAGCCACATGAAGGCATCCAAGAAGCCTGCAGCACGCAAGGCTCATCTCCCCTATGTGCGCCACTCTGTGATCAAGAAGATTGACAAGAGAAAGGTTCGCCATAACAGGCCCATCCAGGAACTGGCTGCTTTGCATGGTAGAAGTTTGATCAGGGTACTCCGTGGTGATGGCTGGTTGCACAAATGGGAAGGCAAGACTTGTCCCCATTGCGGCGAAGGTGCCCTTAGTCCTCTACAATACTTTGCTGCCAAAAAGGTTTGGGTGCATCGATGCTGGAAGCACGGGTGCAAGAAGCGGGTGCAACCGCATGACTTTCACCCCATCTTCTTTGGCGCAAGTGGTCCATCATCTACATCCTTGGCAATGCAAGCTTCTATTCTGTCGTGTGCGTTGGAAGGTGTCCCAGTGACATTTGTGCCATCCCTGCTGCTTGGTGTGCACACAAAGGCCGTGGAGAGGGTCTACTCCAATCCGGGCACGACATGTTCGGATCCTGGAGGACAAGATCGTCTTTGGCAAGAAGACTTGATGGGCAGACGTTGAAGCGGACGAAGTTGATCTCGGCAAGGAAGAGGTGATCTCCAATGCAGGCGCTTCGAAGCTTCAATGGGAACAGTGGGGAGGTATGGTTGAGCGAGGCCGACCGGAGACACTCGACTTGTACCGCCTGACCCCGAAGATGACAGCCAGGACCAGGCCCTATCAGAACAAGAAATTGGACGCGGATTGCCACCAAACATCTTAAGGACAAGCAGGTGATCTTGCACACAGATGGAGCCCGTGCATACAAGATCAAGGTGCCGGGCATCATGCATGACAATGTCGTTCACAAGAAGAAGCTGATGCGCATCAACGGCAAAGCCACTTGGGTGAAACCTCATTACACCCGTGTCTATGTCCACAAGCTCCCTGTTGGCCAAAAGGTCAAGGTCAAGGCAGGCACCCGGATCATTGATCGATTTTGGGGTACTCTCCGCCAAGGCCTTAAGAACATTTCCAGACAGCCTGGGAGCGCGCGCAAAGCCTGCTGGAAGCCACAGGTGCCATGTTGCAATGCCTCTTCGAGCTCTAGAATGACAACGCGCAGCCGTGGTCAAAAAACATTTGCGGCTGCTGCTAGTCACTTCGCTGCCTACGCTGCATGCACCGTGTTTCTTCTGGCTCTTGTCTGCATCCTTCATTGTCAAACTTGCGTTTGAATGCTGCCAGCATTCCAGCCGAAACTGTGCTTCATCATCCTGCAGCAACAACATCCAAAAAACAAAAATTCTGCATATTGATACGGCTGCTACATGATGCTGCTTCTAGAAATTAGAAGAAATGTCTATATTCTGTTCTTGTCTATGCCAAACAGCAAGTATGTTGCAAAGATTTGTTCAAGCACATCGCCCGTCTCCATCCAATGGCAGGTTGCTTGGGGGTTCTGGGGGGGGCGCTGAGCATATAGATAAATAGATAAATATATATATATATTATTTATTTATATATATATATTATGATTATATTTCTTTTTATATATATAAATTTAAATATATATGATGATTGCTAGAAATTATCCATTATATAAATATTCTGTTCAACTATAAATTGTTTCTACAGCAATTTTCAATAGCAAACTGTAACAAATTGCTGGTCAGGCGCCAAGGAGGCGGTCTTCGAGACGCCCTTCGCATCCCTGGACGCGCCCGTGAATCTCAAGGAGGCGCCGAAACGCGTGAAAAATATGTGGATTGGAAAAAAATGGGAAGTTGGAAAATTATTTGGAAAAAATTGATGTAAAGAAGAAACATATTAGGTCCGAAAACAAGGAAAAGTTGGGATTTACCCACAAAAATCGGGATTTCACCAACTGAAGTTGGGATGTGTCTAAGAACAAGATGGATTTTTCCAAGAAGAGAAAGGGATTTTCACTGTTCCACTAACAAAAGTTGGGATTGATCCAGGAAAAATGGGAGATTCAGCAACGAATCTATGGGTTTGAGATGGGTTAAGACCAGTTGATTTGGCTAAATGATTTGCCATGTTGGTATCCTCGTGAAAAGTGAGGGATGATATTGGCCAGATATGTGTAAATCATAACGACCTGACAAGCCTTCTATCGGAACCATTGATGGGAATACAAGTTGATATCATGGGATACAGCCAACCCAGTTACCAAGAAATGGATCATTAAAAGACGCTCTAAATCCGGGCTGGTGCGGTTTTAGGTGACATGTATCGTCGTTATTTGAGTGATATACCGTTGTTGGAGGAGTCCTGGAAGAAACGCGCTTTGACGGGCTAGCAGCTAGCAAGTATCTATTTGTTTTTTACTGTAATGGAGGTGCCCCCAAATCATCCAAATTATGTCGATCATGTCAGAGTTGAAATCGATGATTTTGTGGATCCACCAACTGCCCCCCAAAAAAATAAATGGCTGTCAACTCTAAAAGTCACGCCACGTTTCCCATGGGTTTCTTGCTTGTCCAGCACTTTGCTGGCCCCTGCTGATGCCTCCACCAGTAGGTTCATAGGGATGATGATCCAATAGTTAAATTTCCATCCGAAAACCATGTCTAATGATGAAAAAAACATCCATATTATAATTCCAGAACAAAATTTTGGATATCATAGTCATAATATGTCATGATAGTTACATGTACATCAATATACATTAATTAATGTTTTTTGTTGGTACAATTTTTCATCCATTCTTCGTGCTGGACGAGATCCATCCCAGGAACTACACACATGGCTGCGTAAAGAGGTGGAGGACCTCCGCCCGATGCTGTGATGAGATCGTTGGATCTCCGGGACGCGACGCGTTTTTTGAATGAAGGGGACTGGGGATTGTCTACCACAAAAGCATCCCAACAAGGGAAAATATGAGTAATCTGATTCATCGTTTTATATCAAAATGTTTTCCCCGCTTTGTATCTGAGTTTGGAACGAGATTTGGAACTAATGGTTTGAGATTGCTACAGCCACATGGACCTCAGTATATGTTTTTTTCGTTCTTGCTGTAATAGGACTGTTGTGGGTGCAGCAAGTAAGCAGATATGTTCTTGGCGCCCCGTGCGTATCACAATCAACTTTTCCTGTCCTTTCGCGCATTTTGAAACACATTCATTCTATATTACATACATATATATATATATATTACTTACATGATATATTACATATATATATATATCTCTTACTTATATCATATATATTACATCATATATTCATTATTCTTTGCCATGTGTTGTATTTTTATGGGATGGATTTCGCTCTGAATGCAGCGAACCCTATCCATGGTCCCATGACACTAGCCCCACGTTTTTTGACTTACCCCAATATGTCCCAATGCATTGTCCCCAAAAAAAACAGCATCTAAATTTCCCAGCACGCATATTCCAGTAAATTAGTAGTAAATTAGTTACATCAAAAGTTCCCAGTAAGTGTCGCTTTTTTGTTTACATGTTTTGAATAACCCCAAGCATAAATTCAAGCCCAATACAGATAGAGAGTAGCGACCGCAATAACATGTCTTTTGTTGCAGGGTAGCTGTGGATCAATGTCTGGGAAGATCAACAATATCTTTGGGGAATACTTAAAATGAATAGGAACCAAATGATTAAAAGCCGCTTTGAATCTGATGGTGGGGTTGAACATGGACCAAGATTGGACCAGTCCTTGGGGGATCGCCGGGGATGGTCTGGGATGGAAGACCATGGCGATTTATTTGGTGATTTCCGCATGGATTGCCAGAGGGTCTCCCTCAGTTCTAAGTTGTTTACTATATATATATATATATTATACTGGTTGGTGGTTTCATTTTTTTTAAAGTTTTCCATAGTTTTCCATTCAGTTGGGAATTTCATCATCCCAACTGACGAAGTCATATTTTTCAGAGGGGTAGGTATATGACCAACCAGTATATATATATTATATCCCTATTCTTATCACTGAATCACTGAATTTTCCATGTTTTCAAGTTGACCCCCTTTCCCAGCTTTCCCATTCAAAATAGATCAACATCATGATCCCCAAGTCACCATGGTGGTTTTCAATGTTGGTAAAAGATTTTGATAAACCATCCCCCAATTTCACCAATTGAGGTGGTATGGTTACCATTCCATTAAATGGGTTGTTATATGTGTTATTGGTTTACCCCCCTTACTATATATTAATATATATATATATATCGCCATATTACTTTAATCACCATCTATTACCTTACATTACCATAAAATCACTATAATTACTATAGTTACCATACCCATAGGATCCATGTATGGTATATATATATATGCTAACATTTGGGGTATATTGATGGCAAATGTTACCATATATAGCATACATGGATCCTACATGGGATATATATTACCATAAAATCACTATAATCACTAATTACTATATATTATCATACAGTAATCATATAATCATATACTACTATAATTACTATATATATATAATATTACTATTACATATTACCATAATCAATATAATTACTGACATTGCTGGAGCAGAGGACGAATTGGAATCCCTGCTGCTTCGCTATGTTTGCTGCGCCACCATGGCTTGGAAAGCCCAGTGTTTTTCAAAACACAACGGTGGACGCTGAAAAAACATCAGGGACACCAGGAGAAATCGTGGATGAATGGGATATAATCATAGTACTGTGGATGGTTGGCGAAATCCTGCACCAGTTTATAGGTGGTTTCTAATGTATTTATGTATTTACCCTTTGGTTCTTTAACATAGCCATGGAAAATCACCATTTTTAATAGGTAAACCATCTATTTCTACGGGCCATTTTCCATGGCTATGTGAAATAACAGAGGGTAATCATAATACTGTGGATGGTTGCGAAATCCTGCACCAGTTTATAGGTGGTTTATAGATGTTTATACCGTTATTTATAGGGTTTCAACCATCCCTTAGGTGGTGCAGGATTGCGCAACCATCCACAGTATCATTTGACATGAGGCAAGGCCCAAAAATGAAAACCAACCCCAATCTGGGGTTTCAATATTAATGGTATCGCTGCTATCGGCTATTTAGGATGATATGAAAAAACCCTCACCTGAGTGGTTTCTGAGATGGTAAAATATATGTCGTCTATCATTTTAAGATATTTTAAGCGGAATCGCTCGTGGTTTTAAGCGTCAAATAACATATGTCCGCGAGGAAAAACACGAGATGCGAAATGGTCATTTTGGGGGAGAATTCGGTCCATCACGTTGGACCTCTGTGGAGTCTGTGGATTTGTCACCCAGGGGCGACCTAAAAAGAATCACCCCACCTCGAAAAATCATGAAAAATGATGTTGGAGCCACCCAAAGTTGGCTTCTCAGTTCAAGACTTTGCTATTTAAAATGAATATAATACATAATAGTCCGACATCGTTGATGTATAGAAGGTTTCAGCTATGTCATATTTTAAGATAGCTGCCATATTCAGGGATGATCCCCAAGGGCAACGGAAGTTCATTCGGCTCGCTTCGCCAAATGATAAATTGCATGGCCGCCCTGGGCATCCAGATTTATGAAATGTTAAAGTGAAAGCCACATTTACCGGGACAAGCCAGAGTTTCCTGTCAATTAACCCTGGAAAAAACCTATTACTCGGATGATTGTCGATCATATGTAGCCACACATCCTGGAAGAAAGATCCACTTAGTATTGCCGTATATCCATTGACCCTTTGGTTCGATTTTTGAGCCATCTCCAACTTTGGTCCAATGGAGCAGTGTTGAAAACCCCCAACGACGGAAGAAGCCCATGGATTTTCACCCGGTCAGTGAAGTCCCCGATCCTACCGGTGCGTAAAAACCCAGCATTCTGGTGATTTTCATCCTAATGTTTCTTGGTTGAATGGATGATAAATATGGTTTAATCAGTTTCATACCGTTTTGATTATCCATGTTTTCCGTGGTGAATGATGGTTTTCTGTGATGAAAAGGGGTGAATCCCCCGCGCCCAGATCTTAATGCTCCTCTGTTGCGAGTGCTTCTATCTCTTCACGGTCCCATGGATGCCACAGGAGTTGTTTTGTGCGCAAGAGGATGGGGGTGCGCAAGAGGTGTTGCCCTCTAGTGTTCGTTGGATTTAATCGTTAGACATGGTGACTTATTGGAATATTCATGGGCATATGTGGGAATATACAACGAATTATAAAATCAATCCATTAATTGTAAGGTTGATATACCCGTTACAGTTGGATTCCCGATATGAGATGGGTGACCCTAGCACATTTGGGGTTGTATCCCATGAATATCCTGAGAGCTTCTAGGCACCAGTTTTCAAACCATTCAGTAGAAGTCCGGGAAAACAGGTTAAACTGAGTATTAGCCAACAAAATGACCATTATAATGTCAAAATGATCATTATATTCATTATAATTAATAATATAATCGTACGTACAATAATGAGTGAAGCCATATATTGCCCAACAAGAACTGATCATTATAGTCATTATAATCATTATAATCATTGTAATCATTATAATTGTTGGCATGTTGAGCCTATTCTTGCATGTGATCATGTATAGACATGTACAGTGCTTGACTTAGGTTGCTGAATCTTGGATCTTTGGCTCAAGATCCACTGCGACTGTAAAACGGTGTGCTGCGCCGTTTCATGGTAGCGGAGCCTCGGCTCCAGTAGGTTGTGGGTAGCTCCACACCTACACCCCACCTGCGGGTTGCCCCGCGGTGGGTGTCATTGTGCGGTTAGCCCCGCCTTTGACAAAATTCCCCCAAAGAAGAAAAAAAAAAAGGGGGAAGCGCTCAGCTGAGCGCACACAAGCCCGAATACAAAGGGGCATCGAAAGGAGGCTTGAGAGACAACAAGCCCAGGCAGAAGAAAGGCACCCCGAGTTCCTGGCCCCAAGGAGCTCAGCGAGGGACAGGGGCAAGCCCACGAGGCAGGTAGTGATCGAAGACCCGTCCGTCAAAGACACACCCGCCAGAAGGGCCACAACCAGGAGAGAGAGAACACCCAGAAAGAACAAGACCGAAGGCAGCAGTGCAGTCAGGCTGCAATCAGTGCAAAGGGCTTCCGTCAAGCTCAGGTCGGCGAGGCGGACTTCAGGCGTGAGACTTCGTTCAGCCGCGCCCGAACGACAAGCAATCACAGAGAGACACCAGCAGGTCAGAAGACGCCTTGCCATTGCAGCGGCTGCAATCAGACAGGGCCAAAAGCAGTGGAGCAGGAAGAGGTTCCACGAGAGGAAAAGTTTCACAGCAAGTCTGCGTGATAAGGTTCCTCGAGGTACCGCTGGGGACACCGTCTTGCGACAACTGCCAGAAGAGTGCAGCACGTGCGACGAGAGGTTTCACAAGCAGAAGGTGCCAGCCCGTGTCTTCGCCAACAAGCGGTTGGAACAAAGAAGAGAGGCAGAAGAAGAGTTCAACTCCGCCAAGCTCGACCTGAAACGGTACCGGTGGGGAGTCAAGAAGCCAGTCAAGCAGAAGCTGGAAGAAGAACCTGAGGAAGAGAACGCTGCCGAGGATCCGGACAGAGATCCAGATGAGCCAGACTATGGAGGAGGGTCAGACAATGAACCCCCAGATGCAGCAAGTTGCACAGCTGTTGCAGCAAATTAATGACAGACTGGGTGAACAACAAACCCAGATCAACCAGCTACAGGCTGCTCAGACCCAACCGCGCCGCACGAGTGTACAAAGTGAAACTTTCGAGGGAATGGTTCCAACTGCTGAGTTGTTACAAAGGGCCACTATAGGGGGATCTAGCAATAGTCATGGCTTAGGTCAGTCCACCATAGATACTAGACAGATAGGAAAACCCGAGCAATTCAAATCAGATCCTTCCGAATACTCTGACTGGTCATTTGTATTCAAGGCGTACATGGCATGTATCAGTTCCAACTACATTGACCTGTTTCAGAGGATTGAACAATCCAGGGTTCCAATGCCTAATCGGTTGCTGGGTGAACAGGACAGACAGTTGAGTGCACAACTCTACTACGTGCTAGCCATGCTGGTAAAGGGTCGTGCTCTTGACATCATCCAGAACGTTGGTCCTGGTGAGGGTGTTGAAGCGTTTAGAAAATTGGAGGAGACCTACCATCCAAAGTTGGCTTCACGTTTTGTTGGGAGTTTGTCATTGTTGTTAGCAACACGGTTCACGTCTGATGTTGAATCTGAATTGGAACAGTTTGAAAAGAACATTCGCCAGTATGAACAACAGTCTGGTAAGAGCCTAGATGATGAAGTTCTGCTTGGAATAGTGATCAACGGTTTGACTGACAACGGTTTGAGAGACCATGTCATCAGAAACGCAAACCGGTTGAACAGCTACCAAGCGGTACGTACTGAGCTCTTGGAAATGGCTAGAACCAGCCGGGTACTCAGCCAAATGCCTATTCCAATGGAGGTTGGAGCCGTGGTCAAAGGCAAAGGTGGAAAGGGCAAGCCTGGCAAAGGCAAAGAGCCGAAGGGCAAAGGAAAATCTCAGGATGGCAAGGGCGGCAACCCCAAAAGTAAGGGTAAAGGATCTAACCCCAACCAGAATCAACGTGATAACCCCCATAAGGATAAAGAATGTCACTATTGTCACAAAAAGGGTCATTTGAAGGCAGATTGCAGACAGAAACAAAAGGATGACAGAGAAAAGAGCAAATCCACCAAGTACAGGAGTGCTGCAGGAGCCCCTGAAGATGAACCTCAGGGGGAACCGTTGTCTGCAACTGTTGACCTTGAAGGGGAAAGTTTTGTGACTGGAATGGTTGAATCCAAGCGTTTGATTTTGGTAGACACCGGGGCAGGATCTCATTTGTTCACCAAAGATTTTGACCCCAATGCGCAGCCCAGACCATCCACAAGTCAGCCCCACTTAGCCACAGTTACTGGGGAACCACTTCAAATGGGGAACAGACAGAAAAGCTTCATTGAAGCCGAGTCCAAACATGGTTCTTCGTGCACATTCACGGTTGAGTATGATGTTGCTGAGAAAATGAAATTCAGTGTCCTTTCTGCTGGGAAAGCTGCTGATGCTGGTGTATGGACGGTCATAGGTCCAGGAACCCAGTGTATGATCAGATCAAATGAAACCCCACATGTCAAGGAATTCCTAAAGGGAATAGATAGTATACCTTTGGTCAAAAAGAGGAGCGGGTGGAACCACTGGGGTCCTTGGCGCTGTCAAGGCGGCAGCAAAGACAGTTCCTGCTCGACTTCTTGAAGAAGATGAAGCAGAGGAGCCCAGGCCGGAAGGGACAGGGCTAGTTTCAAGTGGTTCGGGCGACCCCGACCCAAATCCCGAAGAACCCCAACACCCAAGAGGGGACGTTGAGGTTGAAGTTTCAGAAGAGGGTAGAAAACCCCGCGCCAAGAAAATCCCCGAAAACGTTTCACCTGAAGAATTTCAAGCCCACATGTTGACACATATCCCCATGCGTTCGTGGTGTGATCATTGTGTTAAGGGTAAGAGTAGGGAAGACGACCACAAACCCCGAAGAGAACCAAAAGACCCCAACGAAGTTCCTCGTGTTTGTTTGGACTATTGTTTTCTCAATAGGGTGCTCAAGGGTGCAGATGAACCCCAAGCTGAAACAGTCGAAGAATTGAAAACACCTGGGGAGGATGCTGAGTCAAGCGTCCCAGTGCTCGTAATTGTAGACGAGCGTTCGGGGTGCGTTTTCTCTGGGGTAGTCGCAAAAGGCGTAAATCCCTACGCGGTTCACCTGGTAGTTGAAGCTCTTAAGTTTCTAGGCCGTCAAAAGGTGATTTTGTTCACTGACGCTGAACACTCAATCAAAGCCCTGGCTGAAGCTGTAGCCAAAGAACACAAGGGTGAGGCTCAGCTGATGAATGCGCCACGGGAAAGCCATGCCAGCAACGGCATAGGCTTAGCTGAAAGGACCATCCTTGAGTTTGCAAAGCAGACAAGGACCATGGTCAGCTCTTTGGAGTCGAAGTTCAAGGACTTCAAGCTGAACGTAACTGACAAATACTATCCTTGGCTGGTGCGTCAGGCAGGATGGTTGTTGACACGCTACTTAGTGAAGCGTGACGGGCACACGCCCTACGAACGGCTGAGAGGCCGAGATTTCAAGGGCGAAATCGTCGAGCCATTCGAATATGTCCATTACAAACTTGCCGCGGCTGAGAAGGGCAAGTTGGATGGCCAGACCTCAACAGGAATATGGCTTGGGAAAAGCCTCAACAGCGATGAACATCTCATCGCCACGGAGAAAGGCGTGAGGAGGTGCAGATCCATTTGGAGAGTTCCAGAGTCAAGGAGGTGGAATCTGAAAGCCTTTGAAAGGTGGACAGGCTTACCTTGGCAACCGAAGGGACAGCCAAGCATCTTTCCAGGAACTCCAGCACTGCCTGTACCAGGAACACCTGTTCCTACAACCCCTGGAGGGGGAAAGCGTGGTGTCTACATCACGGTGAACCAGCAAATCAAATATGGGGCGACGGAAGGATGCCCTGGATGTCATTGCACTGATGACAATCCAAAGCCGCACAACAAGGAGTGCAGGGCTAGGTTTGAAAAGTTGATCAGAGAAGAGCGAGAACGAGCTCCGATGGCTGATCAACAACCTGAAGCGGGTGACTCCGCTCAGGATGCGGGTGGCTCCGCAGAAGCGGGTGGAACCGCTCAACAGGCGGGTGGCACCGCCCCTGCGGGTGGCTCCGCAGGGCCGTCTGCGGGTGGAACCGCGACGGCGTCCGGTGCGGGAGACTCCGCCCCGAGAAGGGTTGTGGGCAGCCCCACACCCAGTAGCGCAGAAGCGCTGCGAGAGACCAAAAGGACCAGATTGGATCCTGCAGCTCGAAGGACTCTCAAGAGAGATGAGCCAGCTGAAAGGCCGCAGGAAGATGTCCAGAGGGCCCAAAGACTGAGGACAGAACCTGGAGATGACCCAATGGATCAAGCAGTATCCGACTTACTGGCAGCACTTATCGAAGAAGAACAGGAGGTAGATCACGAAGATCGACCGACGCTACACTCCGTTCCTGTAGCTGGATACCCGGAATGGGCAAGGCTGGAAACTGTCTTGGATGAAAAGACAGGAGGAGTGCTTGAGCCAGATAAGGTGCGAAGGGCCAGATCTCGCGAATTAGACAAGATGGATGAGCATTCCGTGAAGCGAGATATCACCATTGAGGAAGCAAACAAGCGAGGTCTGAAGGTCGTAAGATCGCGATGGGTAGATACCCGAAAGGCGTTGCCAGAGGATCCACGAGGCGTACGGTCAAGACTTGTCGCCCAAGAATTGAATCAAGGGCCCCGAGATGATACCTTCGCAGGCACTCCACCTTTGTGGGTGCACAGAACAGTTGTGTCGCGTGCCGCAACTCAACGTCGAAGTGATCAAGGCGGAAGGCGCCTCATAGGACGATACGATGTGAGCGTTGCATTCTTCCATGCGGAAAGCACAGGAGGCATTGCAGTCAAGCCACCGCCAGATTTGTTCGACCAAGAGCACTACTGGCTTTTGCTGAAGGCCATGAACGGCACGAGAGAAGCAAGCCGACAATGGGGGCTCTACATCAAACACGGAATCACACCAGCAGGATTCATGGGTTCTGCAGCCATACCTGGGTTGTACTACCATCCAGAATGGGACATCATGATGGCCTGCCATGGTGATGACTTCCTGGCTGAAGGATTGGCAAGCGATTTGGATCGGCTCGATGAGCTGATGAAGTCCAAGTTCGAGGTCAAAATCTTGCCTCGAATTGGAGACCCGGAGTTTGGTGGAGAAGTGTCAGATGGATCCCATCTTCACCGAATCATCCGCTGGAGCGCAAAGGGCTTCAGTTGGGAGGCAGATCCAAAGTATGCCGTACAGTTGGCCCAAGAAATGGGGCTACAAGATTGCAAGGGTGTGGATACACCTGCGTCAAAGGACACGGGCAAGAATGAAAGAAACACAGAAGACCCGTTGTTTGAAAAGGACGCAAAATGGTTTCGCAAGCGAGCAGGCACAGCCCTGTATCTGTCACTGGACAGACCAACAATCCAGTTTGCGGTTTCCCAGGTTGCAACTGGAATGACGAACCCAACAGAGATGCACATGCTGCAGTTGAAGCGACTTGTCAGGTATCTTGTTAAGTATCCCACTGAACAGTGGAAATACAACCTGCAGCAAGAGCCCAAAGGAATCTCTGTGTACAGTGATAGCGACTGGGCTACATGTGGCAAGACTCGAAAGAGTATGAGCGCCATGTCAATCAGGTACGGAGAACACCTGATAGATTGTTCATGTGCTCGACAAAGTCTCATAGCCTTGAGTTCAGGTGAGGCTGAGTTTTATGCCCTGACCAGAGCCGCATCTGCTGGGTTGCTTGTAAAAGCAGTTTTTGAAGAGATGCGCATGAAAGCAGACATGACTTGTCTTACAGATTCAAGTGCCGCAAAAGGCATCACAGCCAGAAAAGGTGTTGGGAAGGTGAAGCACCTGTCACTTAAGGAGCTCTGGGTACAAGATGCCATCGACGAAAAGAAGTTCAAGGTCCAAAAGGAGTCCACCGACACCAACTGGGCAGACCTTGGAACTAAGGCGTTAGACAATGGCAGAATACTCCAGCTCCTGAAAATCATGCCGCTGAAGAGAGCAGCAATGATTGCTTCAATTCTGGTATTTGCAGATTGCCAGGGTGACAATGATGAAGGACAGGAGAGCGCATCCGGACTGTTTTGGATGTACCTGCTGATGGTGCATCTGTTCGCACTGTTCGGGTTGACCAGATTTATCCTGAATTTTGTGCGGTTGATCAGACAGCCAAAAGATGCGAAGGGCGGTCCATTGCAAACAGACCGCCAAGTTCAAGTCCCAGAACTGAGTGCGGCGAATCGATCAGTAGCTGCGCCTGTTGTACAGTGTGTTTCACATGGAGACGAAGGTCTTCATAGAAGAAGTGTACCAGCCAAAGCTGGGAGCAGAGCTGAGGTTGAAGACGAATTCGTATGGACAATAGGCAATGGCCACAGGTATCACAGGCAAACCTGTGGTATGATCCTAGCTGATCAGAATAGGCCAAGGATCAGTCGTGTTAAGCGTTCACAGGCTGTACGTGCTGGTTTGACACCATGTCTCCAGTGCAAGCCTAGGTAACTGATCCAACCTTCCGGCAGAACTCAGCTTACAGCCATGTTCTGTGGAGGGGTGTTGGCATGTTGAGCCTATTCTTGCATGTGATCATGTATAGACATGTACAGTGCTTGACTTAGGTTGCTGAATCTTGGATCTTTGGCTCAAGATCCACTGCGACTGTAAAACGGTGTGCTGCGCCGTTTCAATAATCATTATAATCATTATAGTCATTACAATGATTACATTCATTATCATCATTATAATCATTATAATCATTATAATCATTGCAATCATTACAATCATTATAATCATTATAATCATTATAATCATTATATTATTATAATCATTATATTATTATTATCATTATAGTAATAATCAGCCAATATCAAAAGCTTATATAATTTTGCTGAACTGTCATATGAAATTCCTTTAACTCAACTATTGATAGGTGTTGATGGGCACGATGGGGATAATTGCTGTGTTGGTTTGTAACATAAGGTGCCCTAAAATCCAGTGGTGAATAATCATTGTCCCTGTTAAATGGCCATGATTGGGGGTATACCCCATTTTCACAAAAACACTCAATTCAATGGGAATTTCAGGAACCTAACTAAATTCGAAGTACCTATATACCATATATAAGGCCTATATAAGGCCTATGTAAGGGAATATCCCCAGAAAACATGGCCTTATATGGTACAGTACCTCCATTTTAGGATCCTGAAATTCCCATTGATTGCACAAGATAAATCATAAAGACCTCACTGTAACATTAGACGGCGTAAATGATGCTTAGGACAGGCATAGGACAGGGGAGTGACGGTGCCCCAAATGATCTTATTTCAGATTGATAAGGGGTTGCAATGTATCCAGATATAGGATATGACCAACCATTTCTAGATTGCTGGTGCTGTTTGGTTTAAGGGAAATTGTGCAGGGTTTATCCCCATAGTTGACGGGAAAAAGACCTGCTGTTTGGTTTTAGGTTTCCCTCAATCAATCCATTGACTGATGTTTGTTTGAAGAAAGGTGTGTTGTAGCTAAATACATCTACCCTCTGGTTATTTAACATAGCCATGGTATAGATGGCCCATAGAAATAGATGATTTTCCCATTAAATCTCCATTTATAAGGGATTTTCCATGGCTATGTTAAATAACCAGAGGGTAAATACATTAGAAACTAAAAATAGGTGTTGTTCGCAGGTATGTACAAGATTGACCATGCGCACAAAAAGCGAAAAGAAAGAAGAACGTTGAATTGTGTGTATCGCTCCGAACTTAGGCGGGGCGGTTGCTTATTTTTTGAGGGTCACCAAATCCACAGATGACAATCGACAATATGATTTCTTATGTGCCAGTTGTAGCTCGTGATACTACCTGGCTTAATTCAGTTGGAACATCGTCAACATGTTCCACTGGTACATCATCCACAGTGTCTATTGCTTGTTGGACTACTGTTTTTTTAAGGCAACTGATGTTCAATTTGAAATAAGCAAAGTGGTCAAAATCACTTATTGGTCACTTACTAAATCACCCTGGTTACTAACCACTGACTAAATGAAATGATATTCAATTGGGCAGGGTTCAAAACCCTTGTTGGATGATGATGAGTTCGAGGATTATACTGCCAGTACTACCATATCTTGGCCATTATCATCATCATCTGGGAATCCCAAAGACAAAGCAGTATGTACCCTGAACTGACTCACCGGCTATGTACCCGGCCTGGTAAACTGTCCCAAAAACCGAACTGGAAAGATCCAAGATGAATTTCATGGGACAACTTACTATTTCGACTGGGCCATGTTCAATAGCTTTTTGTTGGTTTACCAGGCCGGGTAAACATGTTTTTTTCAGTGGCAAGTGGTTCTCTAGCCCGAAAACTGGTGGCTTTATATGGATGTTATATGAATTTTATATGGTTCTGTAGCCCAAAATTGATGGTTTTACCATTGGTTTTATTGAAGTTGGGCATAAGTTTTATGGCCAACTTTGTTACGCGAAGATACAACTAACATCAAACAACAATTCTTGGAGGCTGTTGCTTGTATCATAGGTTTTTTCAATGTGTTTGATGGTAAAAACCATGAAACTATATGAAACTATCGTTCAACCAGCATTAAGTTGTGGAATATATATGATATAGCTCTCCACAATGGATCATTAACCAGTTATATGGGGTGTTCCATAGATGGAGGCCCAAATGGATGGTTTATTTCATGGAAAATCCTTTTTGAAAATGGATGATTTAGGGGTACTTCCATTTCAGGAAACCTTCATATATATATATGTATATATAGATTAGATTAGATTTAGATTAGATTTAGATTAGAATAGATTAGATTAGATTAGATAGATTAGATTTAGATTAGAATAGATTAGATTAGATAGATTAGATTTAGATTAGAATAGATTAGATTAGATAGATTAGATTTAGATTAGAATAGATTAGATTAGATAGATTAGATTTAGATTTAGATTAGATTTAGATTAGATTAGATTAGATTAGATAAAGATTTAGATTAGATTAGATTTAGATTAGATTAGATAGAAAATCCATCAAAAGTTGTGGAAGTCTCGAAGGCTCCCGGGTTGACCGGTTCCCTTTTTGTGTTTCTTCCCAGGACGAGACTGGAGGGGAAGAGTCGGAAGGTGCGCCAGCACGTGCAGCACGGCGGCTCGTCCCGGCCAAAACACGATACCAGTGATTTACCATCTGGTTATTTAACATAGCCATGGTATAGATGGCCCATTTATAGATGGTTTACCTATGAAAAATGGGGATTTTCCATGGCTATGTTAAATAACCAGATGGTATATGATATAACTAATGATAGTAAATTGATACGATATAAATAGTAAACTGAATGTTTGCTATGGAAAATGAATGAGAATGATATAACTAATAAAAAACTCTATGTAAAATCATGTTTTTTATCCACGGGAACAATCGATGTCAAATATAGCCATGGAGCACGGGCATGTTCCATGTATTGCACACATTTTCCCGCAGGATTTTTGGTTATGGCACTGAAAAATCCCCCATGATGTTGCCATTCAAATCTCCATATCATCCGAAAAGGTGGTTTGGTACAAAGCGATATCAATTCTTGTGCGTCCTATGAAATTTAACGAGGTCTTCTGATTTTTGTTTTTTTGGGTATATTGGGTTTTTAAGTTAAAGTATGATATTTCAAGCTACGCACAGAAGGGTCGCCAGGAAAAGTGTTGATGGTGGACCTGGGAGTTGCGTGTCAGTGGGGGTATAACGGTATAACCCACTCATTGATTGGGGTGAACCAGGTACTGTAGGGTATCTTAGGTTACCAGGTTGCTATGCTTTAAATTTGCTTGACCCTCACATTGCCTGCATACCCTCGAAAGCTGGCTACGGATCAGCCCTTGACCCACTGACCGCAAAAAGGGTGTTTCTCAAAATGGGGGATCACCTAAACCATAGGATCAATACTAAACTTTAAACTAGTCTCAATGGATTGGTTGAAGGGAAAATTGAAACCGGAAAGCCCCATATTTACTGGGAAAATCGATGGTTTCCTGTAGATTTTCCCTTAAACCAATCCATTGATGGTCGTTCATGACGACTGGATGATTTGGGGGTCCATAAAATGGAGACCTCCATATCAGCGATACGTACGGTCTTCTTTTCAATTTTTACACAGCGAGACTCAATGTTTTTAGCTGAGTTGGTAGTTAAACATAGCTTGAATTTCCACCATTTATAGTTGATGTTCCCAGCTAGAAACCTCCATTCATAGAGGATTTCCCCCTTGCCACATTCGATTGCTGGATCGCTATCCCCATTAGAAGGTGTTTTATCAACTCCATGAAGTAGATATGTGTGTTATATATCCCTTCGAAATATCCCCATTCATATTTCATTGAATCCTGGAGGGTAACCAATTTTCGCAGTATATAGTAAACCACAAAAAGATAGAAAGTTTAATTTATTCCCATTATAATATATATATATATACATATGTATGATTAAATTAATGCACTCTTTTCATCACCATGAATCCCTACGGGATGGGGCCCCAAGATAGCATTCAGTTGCCTGAAAAAAGTGGCTGAATTCTATGTTTTATGGTAGATATAACATATATAGATTAGTATTCATGGGGGTTATAAACCAACAAACATAATAACTGGGGGGCACACCATCCTGTAGAAGGTAACCAACTTCCAGTATCGTGAGCCCCGGGCGCGCAGACGTTCAAAGCCAGATGGCCCTGGCCCTGGCAAACTTGACCTCGGTCAGCAGCTTGGAGTCCCTTGGCTGGTTTGCTCCACTGGTGGCAAGGAATGTCATTGCTAGTTCAATCTTGGATGGGTAGAAACTAATCCTTTAGTCTTTTGGTATCAATGGGACTATTTATTTTTGCAGGGTATCTAAGATTGGCCATGATTGATGTTACATAACTGCTATTTGCTATATATATATATATACATTGTATATAATACTAATAATAGTGATGATTATCATTATTATTATTTATATTGTATATGATTATATCATTATATAATTACATATGATATGCTAACAATCTATACATATCTGTAGCATACTATGTATATTTTACATGTCATACAATATTCGGATGGTGCTCAGGTTGCAAATGACCAACAGCACCTGGATGTTGAGCGCCTTGACTTTGGCCGTGCACAAGGCCGAAAGGATGATACAGGTAGCAACACGAAACTCTCTTTATTTAGCAGTTGAAAGCATGGTTTCATGTAATTCAATGCATGGATGTTCATCATTGTCGTCGTCGTCATCATCATCATCATCATCATCCTGATCCCCATTGTCATCGGTCTTCATCCTCACCATCAACAATATTTACATCCACATAAACGTCAACGTTATCCTATTATTTTATAGTTATGTGTTCTTCTTCTTCATTGTCTTCATAACTCAGAAAATAAGACATCGCACATTAAGAAATTATTCATTATTTCCACGTCTTTATTATATTCTTCATGTTTGGGATCTTTGGCCGGATGGGTTGTGATGGTTTTGACAGCCTTGCGAATGGCTCTTGACATACTGTACCCTTTGGGACCTTGATATCCAATGCGGTGTCATCAAACGTGCGTGGAAAAGCCCTGAACTAGCGGAAGTTGCTAGATGAGAAAATATGAGAAAATTATCTCTATAAATTTAGTGGATTGTCCAGCCATCTTTGACACTGGAGATTCTGCATATGAGTCGTGAGATTTGAGACATTTGAGACCCAGAGAACCACGGATGCTGGTCACTTTTGGTATGAGCCACCAATTGTTCAGGGACACGGTAATTTGACTAATTTGACTCATACCATCTCATAACTATATCATGCGCATGATTCTCTGGTTGGGTTGCACATTCGACCGCCATTTCAGCTATACCTAAATTCGAGGTACTGTACCATGTTTCGGGCCATATTGGAATGAGCATTGTCTTTGCGTGTACCTTACAAACACGTTAATTACATATTTTAACTACCTCCAATTTAGGTACCTGAATCCCCAGTCTGGTTATATCCTCATTCTTGGGGAATTTTTAATAAGGCCTCCATTGTTTTGGCATATAATTCTGCCAGCCAGGATTTATAAATCCTGTTTGATACATTAGTCAGTGTGATTACCTGCAAACACTCACAATTTGTTGGGAAAATGGTACCTCCCCCAGTTGAATACAGCTCACTGGTTTGTCTGGGGTTGAGAGGGGAGGTACCAGAAGGGCCCCCTCGTTTAAGTTGGTTCACAACCCCATTCAAATGTAAATAGTTCTGGTATAAATCCCGGAGATACTAGTTGCCAGCTTACTTCAATGTATCATTTAAATCCCAATTTGTGTTAGTGAAACCCTAATATTCGCTAATTACAAACCATTTAATTACTATATAAATCAGAGCCAAAATCATATTAAATCATATTACCCTCTGGTTATTTAACATAGCCATGGTATAGATGGCCCATAGAAATAGATGATTTTCCCAGCATTCATACCTCCATTTATTTTGGGAATTTTCCATGGCTATGTTAAATAACCAGATGGTGAATCAATATTCTTACTGGTGCTAAATAAAGGCAGGGAATGAGGGAATGATCCACTAGCTAACTATCAATAATCATCCCAGCAACCCCCAGCAACCCATCCATTCCCTACGTTTAGCACCAGTAAGTGAATGCTGTTGATACAATTCATCAGATATAGAAATATGATGAAATATGATGACATATGATGAAATATGATGAAATATGATGAAATATGATGAAATTTCTGCATATGAAACCACTAAATTACTATATAAATCAGAGCCAAAAAACATATTTTCCATCATGATGAATCCCAAAAAATGCTAATGACTCAAACTGCAATAAATTGGTGATTTCATGGTCATTTTCCCCAAAAAATGCTGAATCTTATGACTCATTCGACTTATTCGACGTACGTTTCGCCACCCATTTTTGGCCAGGCCTTGGGTCCTCCGGAATCGCCGGACGGAACGGCGGCATCGGAGTCTGCAGAGTCCGACGGAAGACATGGCGGCCTTGGGGCCAAAAAGGAACGGGCCTGGAAGGGCCTGGCCATGGGAAGGCCATTAGAACGGTGAAAACCATGGGTTATGATATCCCCATAATGAATAATGATAACCATAACCATTATAACCATTATCATGAATACATATTCCTTAGAATATCCAATGAATAATGGTTAAATAATGGTTAGAATGGTTAAATATCCATTATATTCCCATATATCCAATGGTAATGGTTATAATATCCATAATATCCAATGGCTAATGGTCCAGAATGGTTAATGTTGTTAGATGGATATTATGGATATTCATTTTTTTTAATGGTTATAATGGTTACCATCTGGTAGATTAACTTGTTGACCCTGAAAATAGCCTAGTTTTAATGGAAACTAATCTTCCAAACCCGATGACTGCCAGGGTCGAACTGTGAATTTACCAGAGGGTATAATATCCCCATAATATCCTTAGAATATCCAATGAATAATGGTCATAATGGTTAAATAATAGCATAATGGCTATGATGGATATAATAATCAGAATGATGGTTATAATACCACCATAGTGGTTATAGTAATAATAATGGTTATGATGGTTATAATGGTTATATGTAATATCTTCATAACTATTATGGGGATATTATAACCATTGGGATATTATGGGGATATATGGGGATATTAATAACATACTTCAGTCATTACGGGGATATTATAACCATGTCTTCACCATCATAACCAAGTTATATGATGTTATATGGCCTGAAATATGGTACAATCTTCCTCTAGTGGATCGGTACCTGAGATGGCCATTTTTCATACACCTTTTTTGCAGCTTGAGATATGTGGATATAAATGTGGATATATATTCAGCCAGCGCTGTTGTTTTACAATATACATCAATATACCCAATACACCTTACCCTCTGGCAAACTAACAGTTTGCTATGGAAGATCACCATCTTTAATAGGTAAATCAACTATAAATGGGCCATTTTCAATAGCTATGTTAAATTACCAGAGGGTAACCATGATTTCGGAATATGGAGATATATGCAGATATGGGATATCAATTTTCACCAGCTTGATTAACTTGAGTGTGTCTTAAATTGGGGGATATCCCCCAGTTGCGGCCAATTGAAAATGCGGAAAATGACGAATTCCGTAGTAACATGGTCATCCCCTTGGAGGGCGAAGGTGCCGTTGCTTTCCCCGTTTTTTGGGAAGGACGTGTTACCCGTTTTAAATGGTGTTGGGAAGGAAGGAAGAAACCTTACCCTACACAAACCCTAAGCCAACCCTAAGTAAAGTTAAACCAACCGTAATAACTAACGTCTAAACCGACACTGAATAATCCTTGAGCCAGCCCCAAATAACTCCTATAAACCAACCCTAAGTAAGTTCGCTGCAACCCTGACCGTGCTCCGCGCCGGAATTGTGGAAGGGTTGCGTATTTTTGAGATGCCATGTCCGTGGACTTTCGATATGTAGATGTATATGTGATTCATGTTGATGATCATCATCAGCAGCAGCAGCAGTATCAGCATCAGCATCAGCATCAGCATCATCATCATCATCACCACCACCACCATCATCATCATCATCATCATCATCATCGCCATCGTCATCGTCATCCTCATCATCATCATCATCATCATCATCGTTGTTGTCGTCATCATCGTCATCATCCCTTATGAAGATAAAGTTGATGTTATTACCCCAATCAACATATTTGTCAAAGGGGGTGGTGGATTTTTGACCCCTTGTGAAGATAAGTTGATGTTATTATTTCCTTATTCAACATATTTGTCACAGGGGGTGGTGGATTTGTTGATCCCTTATGAAGATAAGTGGGTGTGATTACCCCATTTAACACATTTGTCATAGGGTGTAGTGGATTTTTAATCCCTTATGAAGATGAGTTGATGTGATTACCCCATTCAACGTATTTGTCAGAGGAGGTGGTGGATTTCTGATCCCTTATGAAGATAAGTGGATGTGATTACCCTATTGAACATATTTGTCATAGGGGGCTGCGGATTTTTGATCCCTTATGAATATACAACATATAAGTTGATGGATGTTGATGGTATTACCACATTCCACATAAATTGACACTTGTGAGGATGGTGAGCATTTTGATAGTGATGATAATGATGATGAGATTGATGATGATGATGATGATGATGATGATGATGATTGATGATGATGATGATGATGATGATGATGACGATGACGATGACGATGACGATGACGATGACGATGACGATGATGATGATGATGATCATGATCATGATCATGATCATGATCATGATCATGATCATGATTGTAAGTGTGGAGCAACGTCCGGGTTGGACGGAACAAGTTTAAAAGAAGCAAATAGACCCTAAACCAACCCTATGTAAACCCGAAACTAACCCTACTTTACCCCCAAACAAACCGCACACCAATCCTAAACCAATCTTCAACAAACCCTTTAAAAAAAAACTAAACTAACCAAAACTAACCCTCAACAAACCCTAAACAAGCCAAAAACCAACCGTAAACGCATTTCAAACCAGCCACAAGTACTTAACAAACCCTAAACAAACCCTAACCCAACCCTCAATAAACCCTAAACAAAGCCTACCCCAACCATCAACCCTAACTAAACCTGAAACCAACCCTAAATAATTCCAAACAAAGCATAAACCAACCCTAAAGAAACCCTAAACCAACCTTCAACAAACCCTAAACAAACCAGAAACTAACCTAAGCAGCCCCTTATCAAGCCAAAAACACGACAGAGCCTAAACCAACCTTCAACAAACGCTAAACAAACCCTGACCCAACGGTAAATGCACTTTAAACCAGCCCCCAATAACCACTAGATAAACCTTGAATAAACCCTAAAACCTAAATAAGCTTTAAACCAATCCCAAACAAACCTTAGACCTAAACAAACTTTTGACCAACCCTAAATGAACCCTAAACCAACCCTACAAGAAGAAACCCCAAGCCAACCTTTAAAAAAAAAAACTAGATCAACCCGAACTAACTTTTGAACCAGACGTAAACCAACATGTTGCAAATACCATTCGCATAAGAGATCCAAGCTCCAAAATGCTGCAAGTACCACCACCTTGGCCAGAAAACGGGGAACAAAATCAAAAAGAAACGGATACAAATGCAGCCCATATACATACAAAGGGGGTTCTTCAGTTATGGGATGTTATGGGGGATCCCCAAGTTACCATGTTTTTTCAAGATGTTTAATGGTCATCCATGACTTGGATGATTTGGGGTACCCCCATGGATTGGACACCTCCAGATAGCCATTCTTTTTGGAATCCCACTCATGATGGTCGCTTCAGCAACTCCATTTAGATCGATGAATTTCCCAGCTATAAACCATCATTATAAACATCTATGGCTAGTTCAGGGATTTCTCAGACACCCTGATGGCGTGACTTGACGCCTGCAAATGCGTTATTGTTTGCATGGTTCTAGTTAAGAATCTTGCTAGGCTGATGTGGTGCCAGAAATGTGGCTTTGGATGGTGTTGTTTGTTTCAACTTGGGGTATTCGACTCTTCGTTTGAAATGGTTTGTTTTTTGTTCTATGAGAACTCTTCCGACCTCGTGCCGAGCTTGCACCCATAGCATGGAGAAGAAGGGAAGGTAGATTAAATATATATATATATTAAATAATATATTATATGATGTATAAGTTCCATCAGGTAGATCAGGAAAAGAGTATTTCCTAATGTTTGATTCAACATCCCTTTTTGGTGGTCAAATAGTGGTTTACTTTCGTTTGATTCCCCATGAAAGCTGGCTGATATTTTTCACTTGTGCGCCGCTAGCCAATGTGCAACTCATGCTGCAGCCTACGCTGTATGCCAGTGCATAGATGCTTGGCAACCTGATTGCCATATCATCCAATTGCCGTAAGATCATCCAGTAGTACTATGGATAGTATGGAAACTATGGATAGTCCTGGATAGTATGGAAAAGCAAAAACCACCAGCATTTTTTCAGAGAAAATCTTCGAACCGTGTGGAATTCGTTGCGTTTTTTTTCCGACTGCGGTCAGTGCCTGAGGCTCCGGTGGATTTCTTTGGTCCGTCGTGGTTCATCCTCTGTGGGTCTTCACGTTGTGTTTGCCGCTTGGAGACGACGTCGTCGACTCCTTGGTAAGGAAATCATTGGCTATGAGATATCCCTATGATGGGTTAGTTCATGATCCCCAATAAACCAGTTGGTATAAACTATACCCTCTGGTAATTTAACATAGCTATTGAAAATGGCCATTTAGTTATAGTTGATGTACCCATGAAAAATGGTGATTTTCGAGGGTAACATAGCCATAGAGTCCATCTGTTTGACCTATTCAAAATGGTGATTGTCCAAGGATGATATAGTTGCACACAATATATAGTCAGACTTGGTTTGCAAGATACCATTCAGATAAGCTTATTCCATCTTTTTGTCCTGATATAGTTGTGTTCAAGCAAACCAAGTCCAAGGAGACATCACTAGATCTGACAGAGGCGGAGCCTGTCAAGCCATAGAAAATGATGGACATTGATGTTCGCTTCTTTGGCCGGCCACCAGAAAGTTATCCGCACTTTTTTATCGAAGTTACTATGTGTTCTTTCATTTACTATATATACACATATAGTAATATTATGTATATAATATATATATACAATTATAAAGTATATACTGTAGATGCTGTAGAGGAAAAAATTGAAGATTCTACCTGTAAGACCACTTTGTTCTTCGCCTCAGGTTCATTGATTAAGCCCTCATTCTTGTTGCTGCGACCCCTTTTTCGTCTGGCTTAGACCTCATGTTCGTATGTTACATATGCTTGTTGGTTGTAGCCCTGGCTATCTCAGAATTGGTTGAAGGGAAAAATCTACAGAGAGCCCGTTAGTTTCATGGTAAAAACCAGGAATCCTACAAGTGTTCCCTTAAACCAATCCAATCCAATGATACTTGTAGAAACTGATAGGTGGGTCTGTCTGAAAAGTGAATAAACGCAACAAAAATGATTGATATCATTGATATTATTTCATTGATATCATTGTGTTGCCATGTTTTCCCTATTGAATTATATAAAACTATATTACTTATTTTTCCCCATTCAGATTGCCATTATTCCTATGAAACACGGCTTCACGACCTGAAGAAACGTCGAGGCTGAGACCATTGAGCGGCCTGGAATCGCTGGTGCTGCTGCCAAGGTCCATGATTTTAGTCCCTTGGAACGTTGACCAAGGGCTGAGTTTGTTGGTGCCTTGGTGATACAGTGGATGGTTGCGAAATCCTGCACCAATAGGTGGTTTATCCCATTATTATCCCATTATTTAGGGAGGGGACTGTTGTGGCCGCCTCTTTTTTAACTATTGTTGTCAAGTTTTTAATTAACCATGAACTATTTCACTGGGAAACCTACACAAAAAAGTCATGAATAACTCTTGAACCATTGTTTAGCCAAATGTCTTGCAATTTTATTTGGTAAGTTCCAGGCAGTCTTGACAAATGTCATGGGACACATATGAAATTATTTCGTGAGAAACATTATTTGCAGCCTTTACCAAGTTTTGAAAAGGATCTGAAACTTTAGCAGCAATGGCCCTCAGGTTCATTTCATCAAAGTATCTTTGGTTCAGTTAGTGGTCTGCCTAAAAGGTCTTGCATGTGTATATATACTTTTTCTTTCTAAGTTGTCATCCTTGAAAATCACAAATTTTCTTGCAGCAGCAGTTCAAAATCTCAAGCTTTCAGCTTTCCAGGCATGTCAAAATCATTCAAAATCTGTAGATTTTTGGTATGCAGTTTATATGCAGTTTATATGTTTATATGTTTATATGCAGTTTATATGCAGTTTTCAAAACTGCATATAAACTACATGTAGTTTGGTCAAAACTGCATATAAACTACATGTAGTTTTGAAACTGCATATAAACTGCATATAAACTTCATATAAAATTTATATGAAAATTCAAGGGCTGACATGTGGTTTTTAAGGATTTTGATTATACATTTGGACTTGATTCCACTGATTCCCAAACCTTTGGACACCAATATGGACATATAAAATTCATAGTGTGATGCAATCAAAACTGGCAATGCCAGCAACTTGTTTCCTTTCCCAAAACTTTGAAACAATTGCAAGTGCAAAGGCCCAGTGCACTTGTTTACAAAAATGATTTGAAGAATCATAAAAGGTTATTTCTGTTCACAAGTAAGTAAGCATCTCTAAAGATCCAAGATCATCATATGTAAATCTCAAGTAAAGAGGTTTCAAGGAACCATAAAAGATTCTTTTGGCTCACAAGGAAACATCTGTACAGGCCCAGGATCATCCCCTACACATGTAAATCTCAAGTAAAGATGCTCTAATATACCACAAAAATCCAAGAACATCACATGTAAATCTCAAGTAAGGATGTTTTAGGCAGGACAATACAAGTTTCTGTTTGTGTTCACAAGTAAACATCTGTACAGGTCCAAGAACATCACATGTAAATCTCAAGTCAAGAGGTTTTAAACAAAACAATAAACTTCTTTGTATTCACAAGTAAGCATTTGTACAGATCCAAGAGCATCACATGTAAATCTCAAGTAAGAATCTTTGGAGGAAACTGTCAGTGAACATATAGAGATTGAAGTGCTAGCTACTATTGGAAAAATGTATATGGAAAATCCAAAACTGTTTCAAGTATCCCCAGGTTTTTGCCTGCAACAAAGAAGCATGTTTCAAATGTTATGGATGCTTGGTCCCAAAATGGTAAAAAGACAATGATATGATCTTTACATGAACCTGCGCCTGGCATAAAGTACTCAGGCTTTGTTTGGAGGGTCACTTGATGGATCCTTAATTGAAGAAACTTCTATGTGCCAATCTTTACTTGTGGATTCAAACAATATGGTATATATTTGATGGATCCTTACTTGAGGAAACTTCCATGTGCTAATGCTTACTTGTGGATTCAAACGACATGGCCTATATTTGATGGATGAGCAGGGAATATAGAAAATTAGCTAACCACATGTTGGAAATTAGTAGTTAAATAGATCTGATGATCTTAGATTAACTTGCTTCAGTAGTCCAGACACAGAGAGAGCGGCGCTAAAAGCCAATAAAGGCAGATGACCAGAGAATATAGAAAATTAGCCAACCACATGCCATAGCTTCAGGAGTCCAGACACAGAGAGAGCGACGCTAAAAGCCAATAAAGGCAGATGACTAGGGAATATAGAAAATTAGCCAACCATATGTTAGAAAGTAGTAGTTAAATAGATCTGATGATCTTAGATTAACTTGCTTCAGGAGTCCAGACACAGAGAGAGCGGCGCTAAAAGCCAATAAAGGCAGATGACCAGAGAATATAGAAAATTAGCCAACCACATGTTAGTACTTAAATGTTAAATAGATCTGATGATCGTAGATTAGCTTGGATTAATCTGGATTAATCTGGATTAATTTACCAAAAAAACCAAAAAAAACAAAAAAAACACAAAAAAAACAATGTTTTGGAGACTAGTCTAAAGATAGCCCTGATCCAAGTAGTCCTGAAAACATTGGTTTTTTTGTTTTTTTTTGTTTTTTTGTTTTTTTTGGTTTTTTTGGTCCCAGATTAATCCAGATTAATCCTTGGGGCTTGAACAGATATCAACACACAAGTTATCGGAAGGGAATGTTGTGACACCCAAATCTCACAAGAACACAAGTTATCGGAAGGGAATGTTGTGACACCCAAATCTCACAAGAAGTATTCTTTATACATATTAAGTGTGAGATTTGGGCGGCCACAACAGTCCTTTCTGATTATTTATAGGGTTTCAACCATCCAAGATGGTGCAGGATGTCTTCCATCCACAGAAGTTCTGGTGATCAAATGAAACTTTCACCCACCAATCTATTCCCAGAACTATCACTGTAGAGCTCACCAATAAGCTGACCGGGTGAGGAATTAGGATTTACGGCCACCAATCGACTTGGAGATTCATCCCACAGTCCTCTTGATCCATCAAGTTGTAGGCCCGTAGGCATGTTTTAATGAATATGATGGTGATAAAATTAAAATGGATATATAATGGACAGACCGGGATATACAGTATAACATAGTATAACACCATGAAATTATAGCGACCGAGCGCCGACAGAGTATGTTACTATTTTGCAGATTTTGGATGATTTTGATGGCTTGACATTGGTCCCTGTACGTGCAGGCAATTAGCCAGTCAAAACTGGAAATATAGAGCCATATCCACAAATACCCCTATCACTGAGCAAAATTTTGTGTCTCTGATCCGAATTACCCTCTGGTATTTTAACATAGAGATGGAAAATCATCTACGTATGGCGAATCATCTATAAATGGTCCATTTTCCAAAACTATGCTGGATTACCAGATGGTAAATTATGGTTCATTCCGTTTCCATTGACAATTTGTGCTGATGTTCAAATCCATCTCATGGCCCGGACCAGATTTCGCAACGGAGAGTGCTTAGATCCGATCTGGAGACGTGGGGTTGATTGAAGATATCACCGCACCAAATTTGATCAGTTCATCATTATTATGAAAGACATGTGAAATCATGTGAAAGCGGCGTGACTATTTAATTTAAGTGACCCGTTTTTGTTTCAGCATTTTTGGGGACGCCAGACCATCTCTGGAATCCACGATCTCAGACTCGCCTGTTCGAGGCTTTTCTGACATCGGTGCGCGAATTGGTCCTGCGTCCCGGCGCATTCTTACTAGGCGGGATCCATGGGGCGGAGCTGATGGAGGTATGTTGGTCCAGACCTCGTTGATGTTCCCAAGCAAAAAGCTGGGATGATTCTTTTGGTTCGATTTTCTCATTGGTTCATCAATATGTTCAAGGCAAAAAATGGCAAAAAGCGGAAAACTCTCATAGATCCATGTTACCCCGATGAAATATATACCCATGATTCTTGAGTTGAGATCCCCCAATGTTGGCGATATCCCCATGAACCAACCATTGATTTCCGGAGGCATCCTCTTCAGCATGCTGCTCTTCTTGTTGCAGTCACTCTTTTCACCGCCGACCTTATTTGTTTGGCACACCCAGTTCCGGGATGTTCCGGGACTACGGTGGTGATACGGATGGTACGGATGGAATCTGATGGATCTCTCAACATGTTTTTTTTACGCCCAGGGAAGTATCACCAGATATCACCAGTTCTATACAGGGTTTTGTAAATGTCCCATTTTGGGGATTTTGAACATCACTTTCAAGTATCTGTTGGAGATTAAATCCCTTAATATTTGGGTGATGTTCAATTAGGACATTTACCAACCCCTGCTATAGATCGTACATATCTTCAAATATAGTACCCTCTGGTTATGACTAACAGTTTGCCATGGAAAATCACCATGCTATTAATGGGAAAATCATGGAAAATCTACTATTTCTATGGGCCATTTTCCATGGCTATGTTAAGTAACCAGAGGGTATAGGTTATTACCAGTTCTATGGATGTTTAACCCATATAACAGGGTTAATCATAGTTAAAAGGGGTCATAAACCATTTACTGGGATGCTCCCCGCGCTTCTTTTTGGTGTTAGCCCACCTGAAAGGTATTAAAACAAGAAACCCCACATTATGCATGTGACCATATTTATTGTTTGCTATTGATTACTATTGTTTACCAGAATATCATATAATATCAATGGTTATATATATATATATATGTACACAGCTGTATTATGCGTATAGATCCTGTACACACACCACAATGCCACAATGCCTGAGCACCAGCACTTGGCTTGATCTCTCCGAAAAAGCTATGGAGTCTGACATCGGCTGGGTATGCCATGAACTGGGTCCCGGAAATGGGTACACAACCCCCCCATGATTTGGAAAAAAGGTAATCTTTGAAATTGAAGAAATATGAAATTGTCACTTAGATCCATGCAAAATGTGGTCATCACACATTATGGCTCAGAATTCGGAAGATGTTTTTCGAAACGTCATGAAAAACCAACGCCATCATCGCCATCATCAAAGCCATTTTGGCTCAGCCGCCCCCTGTTGTACCTTGAACAGCAACCATCCGTCTGGGATGACGTGGAGTCTGGCAGGAAGCGTGGCAGTTGCGCACCAGCTACAACTGGTGGAGCCTGGTTACCAGCTTTGGTAGAGTTTTCATGTGGGTCAAGACTCGAACCACAAATTGAGATAAGTTGATATATATATATATATATGATATCATATGACAATATATGTTGATTCAACAATGGTTCAACATTGTTTCATGTTGGGAATGTTGTGCAGCTGCATTTTGATCCACGTCCAAATAAATATGTTTGCGATATGCTTTTCAGTTTACGATAAATCCATGCGAGCCAAAATTCCCTCCCATAAACGGACCCCAAAGCGAAATGAAATGACGATACAGATCCAATAGCAAACGGTTTTTTGATATTTTTTTAATGGGAATGATGTCATACTTTGGGAATGAGTTCTTTCCTTCCAGCGCCCATCCTCGCCGCCACAAGGAACAGGAACAGATCCGGCTTCATCAGTTGCAATCACAGCTGATGCTTCAGCAGCTTCAGGCTTCACAAGCCCTGCAGGACAGGGCAAAGCGTGGTATCCAGGGTTGATGGGTCAATTCTGAGGTCAAGAACCGATCAATGATTCCTAACTAATTGTTGTGATATCTATCTATGATATACAGTCAATGTGCTATCTGGTAGTACCAAAGGAACAAAGATACACAAACTGTCATAGAGCTACAAAATCTCACAGTGGCATCTAAAAAATGCTCAGGAGCTCCATCACTATGCCTTGGCAGTCAGGGCCGCAGACCAAGCGCGGAGGCTGGGTGCTTTCAAATCATCTATCCTTCGGTGTCATCAAACATGGATAGCTAATGGGAAAATCATAAGAAGATTATTATGGGAGAATATGGAACAAAAACCCTACAAATAGAGGTCTTGATGGGAAAATCATCTATGATGGATTGTCCATTGCCATGTTACGATTATTCATGGGGATCCAAATAATTTGGTGTCAGACCTCACGTCGCGACCTCACTGGAATGATGCTTAGTAAGGGAAACTATTCCAAGAAGAAGCCTTACTTCAGGTAGTTAGTGAACTATTCTAGTCTATCCACATCTAATGGGGAAATAATGATCAATTAGTGATGATACAATGAATTAATTGAAATTGTGCTATAATTATGGGGATAGAATGGTTTTTTTCATGGTGTACTAAACATCAGCTGGCTGATTTTCATGAACCCAGCCATATTTCATGGGGATTGCAACAGCAAAACATAAAGGAATGGTTTCGCCATATTTCATGGCTAGTTCAATGCGAATCTAATGGGGATATGATAAGCTAAAAATTACTTTATTTCGAGTTATCCCCACCATGACATCTATACGTTTTGTTACTGGCAAATCGTCTGGCATTCTATCTGACATATCTTCTGGCATTTTATCTGGCATATCTTCTTCTATCTGGCATATCTTCTGGCATTCTACCTGGCATATCTTCTGCAATATGTTCTGGCACTCTATCTGGCACTCTATCTGGCACTCTATCTGGCATATCTTCTGGCACATCTTCTGACATTCTATCTGGCATTCTATCTGGCAAATCTTCTGGCATATGTTCTGGCAAACATTCTGGCACTTTATCTGGCATACCTTCTGGCATTCTATCTGACATTCTATCTGGCATACCTGCTGGCATTCTATCTGGCATATCTTCTGGCATTTTATCTGGCATATCTTCTGGCATTCTATCTGGCATATCTTCTGGCATTCTACCTGGCATATCTTCTGGCATATCTTCTGGCACTCTATCTGGCATATCTACTGGCATATCTTCTGGCATTCTATCTGGCATATCTTCTGGCATTCTACCTGGCATATCTTCTGCAATATGTTCTGGCACATCTTCTGGCATTCTATCTGGCATTCTATCTGGCAAATCTTCTGGCATATGTTCTGGCAAACATTCTGGCACTTTTTCTGGCATTCTATCTGACATTTTATCTGGCATACCTTCTGGCATATCTTCTGGCATTTTATCTGGCATATCTTCTGGCATTCTTTCTGACATTCTATCAGGTTGAGGTCCAGCGGTGCTCACTGAGCTCGGAGGGCCCCAGGTTGAGGTCCAGCGGTGCTCACTGAGCTCGGACGGTCCCAGGTTGAGGTCCAGCGGTGCTCACTGAGCTCGGAAGGTCCCAGGTTGAGGTCCAGCGGTGCCCAGTGCGCTCAGACCCTTGCAGTTGAGGTCCCGCAGTGCCCACTGCGTGCGGAAGTTGGCGAATTGCTTGGCGAAGAGTTGGCAAGGCGGAAGTGAACATGGAAGTGGAGACAGAGGTGGTGGAGGAGAAGGAGGAGGAGGAGAAGGAGGAGGAGGAAGAGGAGGAGAAGAACAACTCTGATAAAATCTAACAACCCTCACCTGGCAGGTGGGGAAAAAATGCGATGCAATGGTTGAAAATAGCTAACTTGCGCAGCCCCTGAAAATTGTGGGTTTTACCGCTTTACCTTTAATTTATGGCCATGGATTAATAGAAAATGTGATGATAAATCATGGTTTTTGGGGGGTACCCCATTTTTGGACAAAACCAAATCTTCAACCGAACCGCGGGCGACATCACTGTAAGTCATGGCTGATGGAGGAATCATCCCAAAATCAGCAACCATGGCAGGTTTTTGTGAATCCAGAAGCATGATAGAAGCAACAAGAATGGAGGAGAGAAATCATAGGAATTCAATGGAATTAATGGCTTCAAGATGCTTGTCTCAGGTACTTGCATCAGCATCCACCTGAAGCCGCTGCAGCTGTGAGTACTGGCGGTATTCGGCAGCGCTCAGGGGCAAGAGCCCAGAAAGGTGCAAGCACTGCCGGCATCTGGTTAGGACTTGGCGGATCACCGTCACAGGATCAAGATCCGAGATCCTTCAGATGAAGTGTTGTTGTTTTTTTGAGTACTGGCGGTATTCGGCAGCGCTCAGGGGCAAGAGCCCACAAAAGTGCGAGCACTGCCGGCATCTCGTTAGGACTTGGCGGATCACCGTCACATGCAAAATGGGAATACAGATACAGATTATTATGTTTATGATGGTTAGTTGACGATAAAAACTGCTCATATCTCACCCTCCGAAGTCTCAGCCGCGGCCACTCGAAGACAAAATCCGTTGTCGGTTGCGGAGATGACGTAGTTTTCAGGGTTGGGTCCATTGTTTGGAGCCGCGTCTTCATTGATCTTGGCGCACGGTGACCAGCGGAGTTCGGCATGTTTTGGAGATGTTTGGAGTGTCAATTCACATTGATCATGATCAAATGTACTTCAGCCAGCACATTTTAGGTATCACTTGAAGTTGTGCAAAACCTTTTGTTTGAACATACGTGACATGTGATTCGTATCCCCATGATCTTATGACGACCATTTCATGGGATTTGGATGCGACGAAAAACACCATGCGATTTGTACCCTATTCTCAAGCCAGAATGTTTGAATCATCCAACACAACGCCCTTGCTGGTCACAGGCCGAAAGGCTCGTTCTGTGCTGTATGAGGCATGCCCTGCTCCATGGAAAATCTCCGGCCTCGCAGAAAGCGAGAAAAGCCGGAGCCTTTTCCTCGACCGAAACATCAGAAGAAACAGCAGAAGAAACAGAGGCGTTGCTGGGGTAAGTGATGGTAAGTGTGTATATTATACATGTTTGTACATATAAAGTATTTACAGTATATCTCAAAGTGGTGTTCAGATTCTTTACATAGAAGGACTGCGTTTGCACTAGTGACCTTTGGCACACATTTCTCCTCAAAACATGAGAGACGCCTGCGTTCTTTCTAATTCCTCTTGTGTCTCCATGCGGTAGGTCCGATGATGTCAGAGGAGTAGCCATGATTGTACATGATGAATGTGGTAGACCATGGTAGACCCAAAAGGACCCTCCCCCCTCCCACATAGCGCGACCGTATTTTGGTGTTGTTTTTGGACGTTAACCCGCTAACAACCCATCCGCAATATCGATTGGGGATGGTGACTATGGCATTGGATTTACCTCGGTGATTGAGTTGCTGTCTGATGCCCGCGGGTCCAAAACATAGTATCCATGGGCTCACACAATTGGTCATGATGAACATGTGGTGGTTGTGAACCAGGGCACATGGGGATATTATCGAAAAATACCTATCGGATTAGTGTGCCATTTCTGCACTATTGCGACCAAGGTTCTCCGAATTTGTTGGACAAAATACATGATCGATATCTCAGATAGACACTACATAAACTGCTGTAAACATCATAAAACAAAAAAACTAGATCTTCAAGTCTATCAGTCTATCATTAACCTGTATATATATATATTCGACGTCTTAGTCGACATCCTTAGGCCTCCGCGGGCTCGGCCAATCCCATCCTGGGCGCAGCCTTCATCGTGATTTCCCTGGCAGCGATCACCTCGCTGCTCCGCCGTGAATTTTTTCGTTGATCTGGGAAGCCGACATGGTTCGCCAACGTGGTTAGCCAACGTGGTTAAAAGATGGTTACCCTCTGGTAAACTAACAGTTTGCTATTGAAAATGGCCATAGAAATAGTGAGTTTTCCCATTAAAAATGGTGGATCTTTCCATAGCTATGGGACAGTTTACCAGAGGGTAATACATGTTAAGAGTGGTTAGTACATGGTGAATACATGTTGATTATTATGGTGCTTAGTGTTTAATAAATGGTGATTAAATTAATGGTTAGATGTTAATTGATATTTTCACCATGAAACATGGAACTTGTAACGATAACTATAATGAATGCCCTCGGTAAATAGCTGTGTTCAATTCCCAGAGGCTAACGGTTAATAAATCTTAATGGTAGTTAGTGGTTGACATTAATTGTTTTTTTGTGGTAAACATAACCAATGAATGTGCCATTCCACTACCATTTGTGGTTAACTATCATTAACATCATAGTGGTTTTCTGAATGGCACTCTGACACCCAGCCTGGCACACTGGCAGGCTGGGACATCTTTGAGTCCTGAAGACTCCGTTCGAAAAGCCATCAATAATTGTCCATTGCCATGTTCGATCACAGGAGGGTATTAAGCCGAGAAAAAATGCCTTGATTAATGGAGAATTTTAGGGAACTGTTAGATTCGTTAGATTGACTTTTCTTGGATGATGTTCACCATATCCCCAAGTAAGGAGCTATGGAGATACCGGTGTTCAGTGTTCCCTGTTTTTTCATGGGGACCCGGCCAGTTGGAGCTAGGAATTGAGTTTCCCAACCACATATGGGGCTGTCTGATGTTTTTCTGGGTTGCTTGGAGCTGTGGGGTTTCAAAAAAAGTCCTCGCAATGGCTTTTGATGCGAATTCTATATCCATAGCTGTTTTTTGGCATGCTACTTTATGTATATGTTTTTTGTCATCATCAAATATATGCGCAATATAATTACCCAATTTTTACCGGTGCAGCTGACGCATCTTATTTTTTAGATTAGGATCGCTGCTCTACTTTGAACGTGTTGTTAAAGATTTGCCAGATCCAGATGAACTCAATGTTTAGCGACCTATTTGTTTCACGAAATATGCTTGCTTTGAAGCATGCAGGGTCAGAAGTTTTTCGAGCGCTGATACGTCCCCATTTTTTCAAACTTTGATCAAACAGAAACGAGAAGATCATATAATGTCATCCCATTCCACCTGCAACAGGAGTTTCTCCCTGACTTTTCAATCTGTGGTTGGGGGTTGCTATACAGTTTCTTCCGCATGGGGATACACAGGGGGGCAAAAATCACTTTGCTGATGTTAGTATCCCCATGATATTACATGCTTATGTGGCTATGTCTTTGATTTTATATAATCATTACAATCCAGTAAATAGCCAGGAAAATCATTATTACTATAGTTAGTTTGTCCAACCGCACAAATGATTGTCCCATAGATTCCCCATAAAAACATCTCCATTATGTCGCCAAAATTTACATTCCAGGGAACCGCAGATTTTAGTCGATGTTTTTTTAGTGTTAATCATCCAGTCCTAGGGCTACAAAAAATGATTTGACCCATACCGGTATACTCAAGATATGGAACACATACAATGATTACATTGTCAGCATGTATACCAGTATTTCATCATAATTACATCAATCATTATGTACCTCGGTACACTATATGTTGAACAAGGTGTATATGTGCTTATATATGTATATAAGGTATAACGATAGAATATCATTATTCCATGTAAATATGGTATGTATGCAGATGCACATTATAGTATTGTAATTATTAGGTATACCATCCATGGAAGAAGCACCTATCCTTTGACCGCAATGTTTTAGGCCCGTGCCTTTGACCCTGCTGGCACATGATCTATGTGCATTGGTCGCCAGCTTGGACCTTGTGAGGCGCACCAATCTGGGTTCAAAGAACTGTCACAGCAATTGTCAATAGTTGAAGTATGTTGAAGTTTTGTACCAGTTGATAATTCGATGTGGGTCTGCCAATTTGATGTGGATATGCTCATGTTTTGTTAGTAAAGCGATGTCAGAAAGCCAGAATGATAGTGATGGTTTATAGCACCCATTGGTAAAATTGGGATGGTTGATTATTGCTTTTAGTGGTGAAGCCACGCCAATTTTACTAATGGGTGACATCTCAATTTTGACCGATGGGTGCTATTAGATGCTATCAGTGGTGGAATCTGCCAGGAGACTGCGGCGGGCTGCGGGGCACAAGGTGAGCTTGGGGGCGCCTGTTTCGCGGGATGTTTCACACGTTAACCTCGACTTCTGGATGTTTTTACAATTTCTTTAACTAGGGATATAGTTGATAGATGGTGGTTGATTTTTGGGGTTGTACTGTCCTTTATATATTAGTGATTATCACAATCCATGTAGGATAGCATATGAATAGGATGAAGAAAGTGTGATAAGCATCCAGTTTTAGTAATGGCATAATGTCTATTTTTTACAAGACCCGTTTGGTTTGGCTTGTATAATGGGATAATAGTGGGATAATATATGATTATTATGGGATAGCAATAATTATAAATCATCCCTAATATGACCATAGATGGGTGGTATGAACCATTCTAAAATTGTAGGTTTACTAATTGGGTTTACCACAGTATGGGAATTCCGGTAATCTTATGGGATTTTAAACCAACCACAGTTGGAATAGAATGGGGATATATGGGAACATATGTGCTTTATTACGAGAGATGCGATATGGATTTTGTCTCAACATGGGATGAAGCCCTAAATGCCAATTCCGGTGAAATGGCGATAGCTAATCCATTATTGGATTTGTGGGCACACTGTTGGACAAAATCTGGTTGGTGCTTTGGAACATGAATTTTATGTTTCCATTCAGTTGGGAAGAATAACCCCAACTGACTTTTGCTCATAGTTTTTGGCTTGAAACCACCAGACATGTATTAAATATAGTATGGCTGCAAACCTCATGTTTCTTGTTGTGGGTAAAGTTTAGTGCTTTGATCTTTTTGCCAACACCAGGCAGCCAAAGAAAAGAGTTTTGTCGCAGAGTATCTAAGATTGTTCCTTGTTTCGAAAGCTCGCGCAATTGTAGGGTGAAATGACTTTTGAGGAGAAGTATACATCTCAACCTCTTTGATATGATGGACCTATTATGGCAAGGGTATTTATGTCTGCCACTGACCTGTGTTGTCCTGGGAGCTGGAAATTGGGTGCATCAGGCTGACAAATTGTTTAAGGCTCAATGCCCCTTAAAAGGGGTATCAAGATTCAAGGGGGTCAAATTTCTGTGCTTTCTCCTTGTTCCAATTAACATCGATCCTGCCAAATAGTAATTTGGAAGAGTACTACTGAAGATCCTGTGCCAGAAGATCTTCATATATAAGTTCTTCCAATATTTCAACAGACCCTGCCAATTGTTTTTTCTACAAACTGGCGATTCGCAGGGTCGCGGCCGGAACCGTGGCAGGCGCTGGGTCGCCTTCTGGATCGGCTGCATCTGAGCCCCTTAGGCTCTGCGTCTCGGGGAAGCAAAGGACGCGGACGTCTGGGGACATGGGAAATGGCTGGAAAGGAAGTGTGGGACTCCGGGATTCATAATCCTTTCGGTGATATGCGGAAGATTTACCCTAGTATTTGATGAGCATCCAACCAATAAGGGCAATATGACATGACAATACACCATGTGATTTTAGGGTAATTACTCTGTGTTCCGACAAACCCACATGTGATGCTTGTTCGTATTTGCCCAAGGTGAACACAAGTTTTGAAGAGACAATCCATCGTTGCTCCTTCTGTATTATTGTATTGTTGATCATATCTTGCCTACGTTTGTGTGGTTATCTGAAAACACAGTACGCCAATTTTAGATGATCCTGATTTCCCCTTTCAACCATTTTGAGGATACTGATTTCCCCAATTTCCCCAATTTATCCTGATTTCCCCAATTTTAGTATGTCAAATCATTTTGAGGGGCCAGCCCGGGCCAGCCATTTCCGCAGAACCCGAGCTCCAAAAGCTTCACCCAGCTAAAGACTCATCCAACGACCAACCGCGACCCATTTTTGGGGTCATTGAACCCATAGGAACTCCACATGGATCTGTCTGAAAATTGATTAAAATTGGATATATATATATATAATACATAATATATATATATATACACAAGTGTATACGGCATAATTACCCATGTATACCCCCTAAATGAAAAAACAAATGCTATTAGTTTCATGGGAAAATTATGATGAACCAGTGGATGGAATGGGGTACCCTTTTCTGACACGGCAATGTCGGCAGGACAGCGAAGCAAGAAGGACGGCCGCAATGTTGGTCACGGTGTTTAGCGGTGTTTAGTATTATGATGTATTATGTAATTATATGTGATCATATCCAATTTTATACGAGTATGTATATAATGAATATATATAATAATTGTAATTACCAGTAGTACCGCACAAGAAGTTTCAAAAATAGGAAACCTATAGGAGAGGTTGGTTGCTGTGACTCACGGATGGCAAAGCGAATACACTGATGGACCGACAGGTGGTTGGAGTCGGAGTTGTGTGTTTTGGAGTGGTTGCAATGGTTGCAGTGGTCACCTTACCACAACTGCTGGATGTAGTGTGGTGTAGTGCAGTTGTAGTTGCAGCTATAGCTGTAGTTGTAGTGTAGTGGAGCTGTAGTTGTAATGTGGTGTAGTTAGTGTAGTTGCAAGCGCAGTTGCAGTTGTAGTCGTGGTGTGGTGTAATTAGTGTAGCGTAGTGCAGCGTAATGTCGCGTAGTGTTGTGTAGTGTAGTGTGGTAAAGTGTAACGTACTCTAGTGCAAGGCAGTGCAGTCGCAGTGCAGTAATTAGTGTAGTGTGGTGTAGCCTGGCCTAGTCTAGTGTAGTGTAGTGTAGTATGTGTAGTGTAGTTGTAGTTGCAGCTGCAGTTGTAGTTGTAGTTGTAGCGTAATGCAATGTAATCAGTGTAGTGTTGTGTAATGTAGTGTAGTGGTAGTTGTAGTTGTATTTGTAGTTGTGGTGTGCTGCAATGTAATTACTGTAGAGTACTTGTAATTGCAGTTGTAGTTGTAGTTGTGGTAGTAGTTGTTGTTATAGTTGGTTGTTAGTGTAGTTGGTGTGGTGTAGTGTAATTCGATGTAATTAGTGTAGTGTAATGTAGCGTAATTTATTTGTATTTGTAGTTGTAGCAGTAGTGTAGTGTAGTGTAGTGCTAGTCGCAGTTGTATTTGCAATTGTATTTGTAATTGTATTTATCTATTTATCTATCTATATCTATCTATATCTATCTATATCTATCTATATCTATCTATATCTATCTATATCTATCTATATCTATCTACATCTATCTATATATATATATATCTATATCTATATCTATCTATCTCTATCTATCTCTATCTATCTCTATCTATCTCTATCTCTATCTCTATCTATCTATCTATCTATCTATCTACCTTTTCGAAGTTGACAACATCGAAAACGAAACAATTCCGCGAGACTTCCTTCAAAAATGGAAAGTTGAGTGTAGAGCAGACGGCCTCGTACCAATGCGTTTTGCGATTTTCCCACTCCACCTGTCTAAAGTACTGTGCCTGCCACGAAAAAGTGATGCCGGGTCATACGAAGTGCTGCACCTGTCACGCAAAATCATCTTCCCAAAGCTGAAGATCTGATGCTCCAAAATGCAACCCTTCTCAGGAAATCAGCGCCCGGACCTCCTAACATCTCTGATGAACATGTCTCTTGTACTGCGCCTGCCACGGAAAATGCATCTTTGCAGGTCCCCTTCAAATGCCCCACGCCTGCCATCGTTGTTGGAAATGCTACAAAACCCTCACCTTTTGCTCACTTTTGACAAGGTGCATAATCCCTTGCGCCTGCCACGCGAAATGACATCTGAACGTCAAAAAGTGCTCCGAGCCCGTCAGTTTTTTACACTTTTGACTTCGACATGTGCTTCGCGTGACAAGGGCGTGCACTTTTTCGACATCCCAAAAGTGGCCCGAGCATGGTGTGCTTTGCACATTTTGACTTGGAAATGTACTTCGCGCTACAACAGCGTGCACTTTTTCATCTCTCATCTGGCCAGCTGGCTCCGCACCTGCCGCTTTAGCGAGCCTACTGCTCGACCCTCCGGAGCCACAAATCATTGGAAAAACACAGTGTTTCGCGATTTTCCGACCTTTTCGCGCACCTGGATCTTCTTTCTTCTGAGACTTTCTTTTTTTGATCTTCTTTCTTCTTTTCTTTTCTTCTCTTCTCTGACTCTTCCAATCTCTGCTTTTCATCTGTCCATATTGTCGGAAGTTTGACTTCTAAACTTCCTTCGATAATATTTACATATAATCTAACTATATATATTTATATGTGTTAAAGAGTTCACTTTTGTTCACATTTGTTGTGGAAATTCCTGTACTGTGATGTTCCACCATTACGCCACCATTTGTTTTGGGATGCGCAATGGTTTTCAGGTCGCTTCATGTTTACAAACCAACTCCTCGTCTGGGCTCTGTCATTTTTGGTCACCTTCACTATCGCAACAAAACCTGAAAATTTCCCGGTGGTGAGTAGCGCATGGTAACCAACAAGTTGAAGAATTTGGGTATCAACAGTCCCACGCCTCCCGGACAAACACGGACGTGTTTCTCGGGTCACAAGATTCGACTAGAAGAATTGTCTAAACCCGTGAAGATCATGAAGAAAACCATACATTTGAAGGATTTTGAAGGTAATTGAAAGTATTGTTGTATGAAACCCCCACATGGTAAGAAGATATTGGTGGTCAGCTCATGGTACGCAACGGATTTACCAAATCATTGACTGGAAATCACACGAAATCTGAATTATCATTCAGCCAGAGATATCCCATGATACATTATCCCTATTAAATCCCATGAAATCCCATTGTATAAATCCCATTAAATCCCTATTGTTGATGGGTAAACCCCCCATGCACCCACACGACTTGCCACGACTTGCCACGACTTGTCACCCGCGGATGCCTTTCGAAACGAGGACTATAAACCTCCCCGAAGCGAGTCCGGACGTGGCGACAAACTGCAGGTGGGAATTCTCGTGGAATTTGACGCAGGGTTTCGTTTCAGTTCGAGGTGGGAGAATCCATGGGAAAATCACCATGAATGGATCATTAAAACACATCAGATCACCATGTCGGAACAACTCCCATGGGAAACCCACATCATGGGTTTTTCCACATCTGAAGCGCTACTGATGGCTACTGTAGATCCAATGGAATTTTGGGGTTGTAGCTACATACAAAGGGGAAAGCGATTGTCAGATGTTGGCCCAATCTAGCAAAAGGGTGATACATATTGAATCATATTGATATATATATATAATATTATACACATAGATAGAGAGAGGGAGAGATACCAGATTTTTTTCAAGTTCTAACTGTACCACCGACCCAGAACTGGTGATCAGAGTTGACCGGGATGGGAAGTGATCCAGGCACGACCTCGGGGCCTTGGCCCTTGACGTTAGATCCTATCACGGCAGGACAAACCGCACAGTGCCGTGTCATTTTTTTTCATCATGATCGATTCTATATTCTATGTATCCCATCATGATTATAGGATATTATAGATACATTACATTCGAGTTGATCAGTTGGTCCACGTTGGTCGCAAAGGTCCCATCATCAAGGTTGCAGTTGGTCGGCAAGTTACGCTCTCCACGCCTCAGATGTCGCCAATGAAACTCCATGAAACTCCAGATGGTCAACCCAAGCTCCAAAGGTCAACCCCAACAGTCCAAGCATATTCCAATTGTTTTTCCCCCAAACTACTATGTTTGTTTAAAAATCAAAAATATATATCAAAGACCTACAACAAATCCACAACCTGTCCGCATTGGTGGTTTCAAGCTCGGGTTCTTCAAGCGCTGGACCAGGGCAAAGACGAGAAGGGCGGCGTGCCCTTCGTCCCCTCCTGCTTCGTGTGTTTGGACAAACCTTCCAGGTCCAATCGGGCAGATTTGGGCATGGAGAACTGATACTGAGGAGATGGTTCTTCATGTTTTTTGTATGTTTTTGTTCTATAGAAATGATGGTAAGGGAAACCATCCCACAAATCCCCCAAAGTTGCTGATTTCTCCCTGAAGTTCTGTAGAGGTTTTAAACATCATCTGGCTCGTGGAGATCATTTTTTGTCGCTGGGGAGTTGCAGATGGGGATTGTGGGGTGGCGTTAGTACCTCATTTGCATTTGGAAGGGCTCCATTCTTCTGGAGATTTGAGGCAGAAAGGAAAGAAGATGTACAAGAATGTACAAGATGCATCCAATGGTACTCACGTCGCGTCCCAGATTGAAAGAAACTGATGTTTGACCGCTTGGTCTTGTGGATTCTTATGGTAAGACATCAAAGATCATCAAACCACCTGGTGGTTGAATCTCATGGAAAGCTGAAATGTGCTAGCACCATTCAGAGGCTTTGCGCCCCAACATCTTGCGCGCAATCCATACCCAACCCCGCAGCGATCGCCACAGGTGGTTTGTACGAGTTACAGTGTGTCACATCTGAGTCCAGAGATTGTGATTTTGTTTTTTGGGGGTTAGATTACATTACATTACTTACTTATAGAGGTTTATTCTGGCCAGCCGATACCGGCCCTTCCGCAATTGACCAACCATTTGGGGATCACTCCAGGATTTATCAGGGGACCCTCCTCCCAGATACATTTTGGAGCCTTGTGGACATCGTGTCGTTTGCGGAGACTGCGCAGTTCGAACATCAGGGGCGGTTGGCTGTTGATGGTGCACTAGAACATCTCGATGGTTTTGATGTGTTTTTTTGAGGTTAGGTGGTAAACCGGATACAACCGGATGAAATTAGAATATATACCCCCATGTTGCCTTTGTATGAGTTTATAGTGGTTTATACGGCATATTTCAAGCAGTTGGGTGTTATGATAAATCAAACTCACTTGGGGGTTGTGAGTTTTCGACATTATGGGTCAAGTCATTTGTGTTGTTGAAATAGGATGACACGCTGCATGAATGAGATAGCATAAAATGACCAACAATTGTCATTGTGTTATTTCAGCAAATAGGGAGACAGACCTGCAACAAATCGGCAGAAGAAGCAACCGTAGAATAATGTGCACATGAACAGGTCACTATCTCATGGGATAGCATCAACATTATTTCATTCCCATGTTTGTTGCTGGAACTCACCAATGTATTCTGTGCAACCCTCATTTGAGATCACTTTAGCTGGTGAAATTCCTTTTTGGCTGGTCAGACATGATGCAACCTCGCATGTTGAAAGTGGAACTCCGATGTTTGGCAAGATCTTGACTCTTGCTGGTCAAAATCGAAAAAATTGATCAAACCATAGCAAACATCAAGAAAAATCATGAAAAGTCATGACAACTCATGAAACATCAACTCGTTACCATGAAAATCCTTGAACCTCCCCAGGATTTTTTCATCCGTCACGTCTGTGTTTCAATGCTCAGCCGCACGATGAATTCCGAGGTGCAACTGGTGGATGCAGCAGCCCGCAGCCGGCCCACAGAGGACATGGTGCAACTGACAGCTAGGAGTTGAGTTTCCCAACGGCTTCAACATGCTTCAACTGATGATAAATGTCTCTAACTGCAACATCATGTGATTATATGTGATTCAGCACTTCATCACTATCGGGGAAACTCGTCTTTATGAGTGTCCCTCTACTTGGGGGCCGACGGAGAGTTGAATATGTTAATGTTCTGCGAAAGTTGGGATATGATATGCAGATCATACCAGTATGTACTTAACAGCTACAAACCTAGCTTTTTACTGGGGACCTAAAATTGGCTATTGTGTTCTCCTTTACTTGGGTGTTTTGAACAAACTAGTATGTTGGCGCTATATATAATCGGATATGTAACCAATATACTGGTATATGATTATTATGACCATCATATAGTATATAGTCTATATAATATATCATATATATATATTATATCTCATATATTATATACTATATATCATATATTATATATTATATGTCATATATTATATATGATATATATATATGTATATATTATAACATATATATATATTATGCTATATACTATGTACTATATATTATATTATTATTATCATTATATATATATATATTATACCGATCCACCGGAGGTCATGTACCATGTTTCAGGCCATATAACTTGGGGGTACCTTCTGGTAAAACCATAGGAAAAGCCATAGGAAAATGGAGGTTTACCCTCTGGTAAACTGTCACATAGCTATGGAAAATCACCATGTTTAATGGGTAAATCAACTATAAATGGGCCCTTTTCAATAGCGAACTGTTAAATGTTTAGAGGGTACATATTCACTTAGATAGCCCTACGTAGTCCTACCATATATGGTAGGAAATCGGGCGTCAGGAACGGGGCGGCGATCGCGGAGGCAACTGCCCTTCTTGTCCCTGCACCTGGTATGCTCTTGAAAGACGTGAAGATTGGATTTTATTTGGATATATATATATATTTAGATTTGCAATGATTTACAATTGATAATAGTTTGCTATATAATGATTTATAATGAATTGTAATGTGTCGCATTGATTTGCTGTCGATTTATGATTATCTACAATGATTTATATGGAAAACTGCCATGTTTTGCGGGTAATTTTCAATCAATTGGCAGTTCATGGGGAAATAATGGGCATATAATGAGGATATAGTGTGGATATAATGGTATATACCATGTATATATGTAATTTTATATATATATATGTATATATATATACACATATCAGATATCAGATATTGCACTGTTGGTGTCTTAACACTAAAGGGCTTCAGACTTATCTCAGGGTCTGTCCGGAAATGGATGGATATTCAAAATCCCACAAAGGGGATCAAAGTAGATGCCAGTAGTTGAGGTAATGAATTCTCGGAAGGAGTTTTCCCAAAGTTGAAACTGAGCCCAGGTTGCATGAACGTCTTCCTCTACTCAATGCTTAAAGGAATGCTATTTGGCCCAATGCCGATCCTCAAACAATCCATGTCATCCCATTTGCGAAAATCATGGCCATCCAAAGGAACTGGTCCACTGACCCTCTTGGAAGCTACATCTAAACTCTAAACGGCTTGTTTCTTGAAATTGGGCCCAAAACCACTTCACCTTTGAAAATGGTCACTATATATATATATAGATACGTATATTAAAGGTAGATATATATATATATACTATAGGTATATATATATACACTATAGGTATATATATATATACTATAGGTATATATATATTCATATCAATTGAATGAGATTGGTGTCCGCCATGACTCCCATCACTCCTAAGTCATTCGGACACGTCCAAGGTGGCCAGTCAGTGAATCGCGCCATGAGAATCTTCATCTAGGGCGGTCGGTTCCTATGCAGCGGGGGATTTCACCGTACGAGTTGAATTTGGGTCATCCTTTCCTCCTAGATGAATAGATCACTGAGCCAAGGCATCTAGGGGGTTACTGAATGTTAGGGGATCGGGGTATGGTGTATTCAAAACAACCATGGACGTGAGTGGAACAACCATGTAAAATCATAGAAATGGTCGAAAGTCTATGTTGTTTTTGGTTTTCAGAAAAGAAGGTTCTTTCACTTTCCGTGAAGAGAAAATCCCAAGAGACTAACTACCATGATGACCAGCCAACAAGGAGGTCTTGAGGTAGTAGTAAGCTGGAGCCAAAGAGGCCCCAATGGGATGAAATCTATCGTATGGATAAAATCGAAATATGGAAAAAAAAATCCTAAAATAAATTAGTGAAATAAAGAAATATATATTATATTATATTATATTTATATTCATATTATATTCATATTATATTATATTATATTATGTTATATTATATTATAGTATATTTATATTCATACTATATTATATTATATTATTTTATATTATATTATATTTATATTCATATTATATCATTGTATATTATAGTGTATCATATTATATTAGATTATATTAGATTATATTAGATTATATTAGATTATATTATATATATATTAGATTATATCAGATATTATTATATATATTATATTATATTATAATATAATATATTATATTATAATATATTATTATAATATTAGATTAGATTATATTAGATAATATTAGATTACATTACTATATTTTTTTAATATTATATATGATATATATTATATATATTATATTTTTGTTATTTATATTGTATATATTATATTTAATATATATTATATGTATTATATGTATTATATATATTATATATTTCATATATATTATATATAATATAATATATATATATATTATATTATATATATATTAGATATATTAAATATGTTATATAAAATATATATTATATTTTGTACTATACCATATACCATATACTATATACTATATACTAATAAACTAATATACTAATATACTATATATTATTTACTATATACTTTATACTATATACTATTTACCAAAAAATATTTACTATATACTATATACTAAATACTAAATACTAAATACTATATACTATATACTAAATACTAAATACTATATATTATATACAATATATATCATAATATTGAAAGGAAGATGTCCGTAGCCAATATAACGATGTATATATTTATATATATATATATATTTCGTGGTTGAAATAATTATATTATATTGTAAATATTTTAGCTGTATGATTTTTTATTTTATTTATAGATATATGGGTGTAAGTTAAATTATAAGGTCCGGAATAAGGTCCGGGACCCGTTCCATACCCCCGTTTTATACCCCGTTCCATAACCTCGTTCCATACCTGTTTGAAGGCTCCGTTCTATACCTCTGTTCCATATTTCTGATCCATACATTATTATATATATAATTATAGATTTATTTAATTATATATATATACATAGAATTGTATATATTTGAAAATGTGTAATCTGATTTTATATTTGTACGTGCATATATGAGCGCATGTACAGTATATACATGAATACATACATGCAAGAACACGTTTACTATGCCCAAGCCCTGTGCTGGTGTTGGTAAGTCTGTGCCTGCAGCACTTACAGCTGCTACCTACTTTGTTGTGTGATGGTAGGGATGTGCTTGGCTGCTGCCAGCTGGCAATCTAAGAATGGATTGCTTGTAACCCTCCCTCTTAACCTGTGGCAGGTTTGCGCCTGCATCACTTACAGTTGCTGCCTACTGTGGCAATGGTAGAGATGCGCTTGCCTGCTGCTAGCCAGCTGGCAGTCAAAGAATTGCTTGCTGCGCTATTCTCGCTCCAAACTACCAATTTTGATAAAGA